CCTGCAAATGTGATATAAGACTAGGGTTGCACAATTAATCAATATATTATCAAAATTGCAATATGGCCATGTGCAATATGCAAATCGCAGAAGCTGCAATTTGTTTGATAAAGGTCAAATGTGTGACAGCATTATAAGTACTCTGTATCTCCAGAGATATCTTGATCTGAAAATCTTGAAAACATGTTTGTTTGGTACAGATCCCAACAAATGTCCCATCATTGTGGTTCTAATAGTTTTTTTTCATTGAGAATTAAATTTGTGAAGCAAAAATTATAATTCCCACACTAATCATGAATCATATCACAGTTTCCGTCAAAGTAATTGCAATAAGATGTTTTTACCATATCGTGCAGCCCTACATAAGCCAGAGACATGCACAGTGCAGGGTTGCAGGTGAGCTGAAGTCTTAAGATAATGAGAATGTTTTAATCAATCTTCAAGATCTAAAACTAACATGTGTTCCTCTTTCAGGTACTACTTTTCACTGACATATATGTATAGTCCACTCTTGTTTTAGTGTCATGTGGTATGTCAGTCTGGTTCTGGGTGACAGCACCCACTCTGGTGGGCTGATCCAGCTGATCGGTCTCAGTGGATTGTCTAAAGGTTCGCTGCTCTTTAATGCAAAGCCCACGTTTCCTTCTCCAATGACCGTAGACTATTTCGGCCGCAGCATCTGAATGGGCAGCTGTTGCCATAGTCAAAATCTCCAGTTGATTTGAACAATTTTGGCCTAGCCCTTTTAAAAATCAAATCCAAGCAGACATCATTCGATGATGTTAGCAATGAGCTACCGGCTGCTGCATCTACATATGCAGCTGTTGCCATATTTGTTGTTTCATTTTGAATTACTGCCCTTTGGCATATTGTTAGCTTTGTCCCTGGTTACACCCGCTATGCCTGCCACACAGTGCGGACAATTAGCCACAGCTAGTCCTACTCGTTTAGCTACCAGAACAGTGGCATTTGTCACATCTTTTCATGTAATGAAACTGGACTGCATATTTATACTTAAGAATTCTCATTAAACAGGAACCCAATCAACATGTTTCAAGATGCAAAACTGCTTTCCGAATTGTCATTGGAAACAGTTTGGAAAAGGGCAGGCCCTTTCAAAAGTCACTCAGCAGGTGATTGTATGAACCATCTGTCTATCACCGTCTATCACAGGTGAATTTCAACTAATCAGATCAATTAGTCAGTCGGAAGAAGAACAAAAACATGTCTTCTGTGGAGAAAAGCCTTCTGTGCCGTTCTTTGCTCTTCTTTCAGTTAAGAAATACTCTGCAGTTCTGATGAGACTGATGCTTGCAGCATCTACGCTAACCTCTTTAGAAGCCCTATTGTTGTTCTAACAACCCTGAAAGTTCCTTCTCACACACATCACACGCTCCCAGTAGTAGAACCACTGTGATTCGGACACAAGCGCGTAGCCTGGCAAGATGGATTTTTTTGTGATCTCGTGAGTCTGGCTGCCTAGAAAGCTTAGAGGACTAATCAGCCTGTATAAAGCCATACTAAATAACCCTGATGATGACATTGGGGGTTATTTTAGCTCAGGCTTGGAGACTATAGATTGAAAACAATGAAATACCTCTTTAACATATTGTGTTAAAATGGAATAAAATGTAAAAGCAGCTGAGATAAAACTGGACATTTTGTAGAGATATGCTGTTAACCCTCCATTTCTTTGAAACTAATCTAATTGCGGACTTAATTCAGATGCAGTGTGAACAGAGCCAAGTCATATCAACAGAGAAGTTTGGAAGAATAACAGTGTGGGATGATGCATGAAATGTCTGAGCTCTCCTAAGGTCGTGGGAAGGGGTTTGTCCGTCAGCATTGCTATCCTATCTGCTGCTGAATTCATACTCAGTGCTCAGAGTTCTGCCTCCGGGCTAGTTGGACCACCTTGTAACCCCAGCTTCCTGGAGGCTCACCACATTGTTTCCGGCAGTTGAGCAAACAGCAGAGTAGTGAACCATGCATTTTTCTGTCTGTTGCTGTCGCATTACTTTCCTGCAGTGATTTCATTTGTCAGTGACAGTGGCCTGGAGCTTTAGCTGAAGACACAGATGTTGGCTCCCTTTTTAGAGAATGGAACTTGTTCCACCTTTTGACAATGCTATCTTAATTATTTAATGAATACTACCTTCCTTTGATTTCCACCTCTCAATATGTATATATAATACTGTTTCATTGACTCTGTGAGCGCAACATAACACCACAAACGAGACACCATTTCTGTGATGATGGTGTAGAACCAAATAGTAAGACAACTTGTCTGCCGGAACCTGAAGTTGATGCACAAACATAAATTCAGCGTGCTATTTTTCTAAAGTAACTTGTTTTGCATGTGTGGTTCCAGTTTTGGCTGAGAAACTGCAACCTAGCTCATTGTACGTGACATCTTTCTTGTAGATAAAAGCACAAACCCACAAAGTGTCACAAATATAGCAGCGCAGTTGTGGTTGATGCTTTTTGTGTAGCATATGTGAAAGTACAGTGTTGCACGCCATTTTCAATGCAATGTAGGCCAGAGATTTTGACTAAAAATGTCCTGTCAATAGAGATGTTAAGGGATACATGTTAGGAGGTTATTTTTGTAGCCGTTTGCACATTGTTCCAGGCTGAATGTTCGACTCCTCTGCTGTTCGTCAACTGTCTCTAACACAGGAAGCAGTCAGAAGAGGGCCTGTGGATGTAAGCCAGTAGGCTGGGAGTCTGTCAGAAATGTGTGTGTATGTAGTTCCAGTGAGAGCAGTAGGATGAGTGTAGGATGCATCGTCTTAAGCACTCAGATTAACTGGTGACAGCTCCTATAAACACACGGGAAATAACTGCTTGATGATACTGTACAGTGGCTCTACTGTAGGTCTAACTTTGTTGACCCATGGCACTGGCTGCAGTAATGTGATGTGCTGCTAACACTTTAATATTGTTCACTGAAGCCGTTCTTCAAATCAGACTCTTGTCATGTGGAGTATTTGTCAGGGTTTGCTGCACAATTAATCAAAATATAAATCAATGTGTGACAAACAACATTATAATAAAGCACTTTAGATCTGAAGTTTATAAAAATTGTCACTGCAGTGTATGAGCTGATATTGTTGTTTATAATTTTTTTTTTTTTTTTTTTTTTTTTTTTTTTTTTTTTTTTTTTTTTTTTTTTTTTTTTTTTTTTTTTTTTTTTTTTTTTTTTTTTTTTTTTTAAAAAAAAAAAGTTTTTAAAGATTTTTAACATTAATTTTTTTTTTTTTTTTTTTTTTAAATTTAATTTAATTTAGAATATATTTAGATTTTTGTTTTTTTTTTTTTTTTTTTTTTTTTTTTTTTTTTTTTTTTTTTTTTTTTTTTTTTTTCCTTCCTTTTTGCTTTTTTTTTGTGTTTTTTTTTATTTTTTTTTTTTTTTTTTTTTTTTTTTTTTTTTTTTTTAAAAAATTAATTTTGGTTTTAAAAAAAAAAATGAATTGTTTTTTTTTATATTTTTTTTATTGTGTTGTTTTTTTTTAATTGTTTTTTATTTTAAATTTTTTTTTTTTTTCCTCTCCCCCCCCTTTTTTTTTATTTTTTTTTTTTTTTTTTTTTTTTTTTTTTTTTTTTATTTTATTTTAATTAAAAAAAATAAAAAAAAAAAAAATATATATTTTTTTTTTATTTTTTTTTTTTCCTTTTTTTTTTTTCTTCTTTTAAAAATTAAAAATTTTAAATATAAATAAAATTTAAATTTTTTTTTTTTTTTTTTGTTTTTTTTTTATTTTTTTTTTTTTTTGTTTTTTTAAAAATATTTCAAAAAATTTGGGAAAAAAATTTTATAAATTTTTTTTTTTTTTTTCCTTCCGTGAGGGGAAGGGGAGGGGGAGGGGGTTTTTTTTATTTTAATAAAATTAATTTTTTTTTTTTTAAAAAAATAAATTAATATTTTTTTTTTTTTTTTTTCCTTTTTTTTTTTTTTTTTTTTTTTTAAAATTAATATTTTTTTTTTTTTTTTTTTTTTTTTTTTTTTTTTTTTTCCCCTTTTTTTGGGGTGGGGGGGACTCGATGAGATCAATATGTCCTGTCTTTATGCATATTGGTCAAGTTGTTTTCTGCCAGCAGATGAGTAGAGCTTAAAGAGAATTCCTGTGTCATTTAAAGTGTCCTTTCACTCATTTCTTTCTCTGGTTCTTTTTCTCTGGTTTTGTTCCCGCCTCATGGACCTGCCTCCTTTGACCGCTGCCTTCCCATGTCAACTTTTTGTCATCTTGACAACATGTCTGCGCTCCAATCCAGCTGTAAGTACTCTGCTCATTCCTCATCTGCCTGCAGGGCCTCTGGGTAATATAGATTGTAGTAAAAATGCCTCATATAAAATTCACTTTTCACCCAATGCTCATAAATGCTTTTTGATTTATTTTAAGTGATTTATTTGGTTCTAGACAATCCTATAGCCTAAAAAAAGTCAGCTGCTTGTGCAGTGTACCCTTTAAAGTAATAATACTTTGAATGTAAGCCTTTAAAATTATTTAAAGGATGCAGTTTTTACACAAACACTCACATGACCCACTGATAAGACTTGATGCACATTGTTATAAATCTGTATGTGAAAGTTCACTCTAGACTTTGGGAACAGCAGTTTCACAAGAACAATCTAATCTCAAGGTCCACTTACTAACTTTTTCCTGAGCTTTCAACCACATCTCACAGTCATCTGTAGTAGCTGGAACAACTGTCAGACTGGGCAAATTCCATCCATGTAGACCGTAAGGTGCAGGTGAAAGTGCTGAAAAACATAGCAATTGCACCTTGACTATTTTATATTTTTCTTTTGATTACAAATTTGTATGCCCCTGCTAGATAATAACTGGCCATTTTCACTGTGCATCCACTCACAATGACACTAGTTCTGTCTTTGCATAACTATACATCAGAAATCAGCTCTTTATGCAGGTACAGTGTGTTTATTTTGTTTTTGTGGCACCATAGTGGTATTCCGTTGTCTTGAAAGTGTTATCTGAGATCTGATCTTGCAAATGTTACAATCTTCTGCCACAATCTGTTCTCATTCTCCAGTACAGTCTTATGGCCACTGGTGGAAAGTATCAGCTCTGTTTATTTTTGGTCCACAGCTACAGAAGAACTTGGAGGGCTACGTGGGATTTGCAAATCTTCCAAACCAAGTCTACAGAAAATCTGTGAAGAGAGGTTTTGAGTTCACACTCATGGTTGTGGGTGAGTAATTCTCTTTTAGCACCTTTTCTTCCATCCTTGCAGTCAGTCTGTGACACAATCAGGCACTCATGTGAGGATAACAAACAGTGAGAGGGTCACGGTCTCTCAATCTGTTGGCTTATTCATGTGTTAAGGTCTTAAAAGATGTTGATACATCTACATACAGTAAACCCATGCCTGTGTTAGAACTTGCAGCTCCTACTGTACATGAGTCGAGCGGGATTGAGTTTCACAGAGACTTCATGGCTGAAAGCGCTAGCAGCTGGCTGCCCAAACGCATTAGAGATAGTTTTAGTTGAAGAGGATAAGTTGCACGTAAAACAAGACTCCGGGAAACCATATTTAAAACAAATGTTTGCCATTCAGCAGTACAGGCAGCCCGCTCCTGCCGCGTGTGTGTGTTTGCGATTGTGTGTGTCTCTTGGATTGTGTGGTGGGGAGGAGGCTTCCTGTCATTCCATTCATGCAGCCAGAGTCAAAGCCCGAGCAGCTGATTCGAAGGGAGGCGCACCCACAGGACCCTTCCTTTCTCTGCTCAATGTTGCCCAGAGGTACCTGAGCAGGAAGCTTCTCTTAATGCCTACATTATGTCACATCCTGTCCTCCTGGGTTCACGTCTTTCAGTACCTACCTGCCTCCATGGCTAAAGAGCCCGTCTCCATGGCAGTCAGATCACCCTCCTCCCTTCTGGCTTCGTTCATGTAGTCACGCCCTGGAGTTTCCCCCCACTGTGCTCTCAGGAAAAAGGCTGTTATGTGGCAATTTTGTGTGCAGCATGTAATTAGAGTAGCAGGGTAATTGGCAAAGTCAAGTGCTTGTCACGCTGGAGTAGATGAAGTGTCGGATAGTGTGTGCTTTTCCTCAGTTTTTAGGGGATGATGGTAGTATTGTTAAACCACTGGGGACACGCCGCTTATGGTATTTATGGGATATGTTATTTTCTACAGGCATATTTCATAAAGAGACAGTTGTGAAGTATGAAATATTTCTGTTACAAACAGGTTACTTGTTTCCAGTGTATTTTAGTGCTTACTTTATTAGACATTACAGCATTTTATTATAAATGGAGTCGAAACTAGGATCCTCAGGAAAGTATGAATACTCAGGAAATTAAGTCAACATTTTTGGTGTCTTTATTATGTGCATATACCTCATACGCAACTAGTACACACCCAGTGGCCACCCATCATTGAGTTTGTTTGGTCTGCATTGTGGCATGCAGGATACAAAGTACAAGGGTCTAACGAAGTGAATCTGTAAATGGGTACACACTGAAATTAAGAAATAATACACAGATACAAACACACAAAAATACTAACAGCTAGACTTGCAGTCACCAGGTGTCATTTTCAAGGCAAGGATCACTGACCCGGAGTGGTCACAAAGCCATGGGTATCTCTGAATACAATTTATTAAAATAGTTTCTTAAAAACTTCAGAATATCAAAAGGATGTATGAAAATGGTACATTTCCTTCAAAGAGTGCCGAACAATTTAGGAGCTCAGTTCACCACAGTGAAAGAGGTTAGCACATCAATAGATCTAATGAATGGTGATGCATTTCCTACCTGCCAATAATGCTTAAACAACAGGAATCAAATGTCAGAGCCTTAGAGGGACCCTGTTTATAAGCTAGTATATTTCTTTTAAATGTATGTGGCTTTAACTAGGGCTGACCCGAGTGCTTCGAAGCTTGCCATGGTAATCAACATCCAAATCAGTATTTCAAAGTTTCATTATTTATTTTTTAAAACCACTATGATTTTTGCAGAAATAGAGAGAGCTGTTATCTGGTAATATGTTAAAAGTAAGGCTGTCGAGGTGAAGGAATTTCCCCTTCGGTAATATAGGGTGGCTCAACAGTGCGGTATGTGATTTTTGTGAGGGGTACAATGACACAATGTTTAACGTCGGTCCCTGCTTGTACTAATCACCTGCACCCGCCCTTCTCCAGTCCTCCCGCCTCCTGGGTCTGTGACCCTGTTAACTGATGACTTTCAACTGAATAAACTCGTCAGTTAGTTCACATGTCCAGTTGAAAGTCGCTAGTTAACAGGGTCACTCATTAAACTGAAACACTGGCAAGCTGTGGGACACACAGCTGTGGCTAATTGGGATAATTAGCGGCCCAGGCGTTTTGTTTCCAGTCGGGAGTTTTTCCAGAGCGAGTTAGGCGATGTGACTTTCTCCTGTGTGTTACTGTACTCCTGGGCTGTGAATTAAGGGCATAACATAGCACTGTGTTTCAACGCTTCTGCTGTGTGGAGCATGCAACCTCGCTGCTCTGGGTTGTGAAAAACAAATACTGAACATGATGAGTTGTGGTGGGGCTAGCCATCCCAATACGGTTGGCTTCTCAATAGCATGATATTTCATCATTGCGCTTACCACAACAGCCCTAGTCAAATGACACAGTATACTTTAAGGTAGACCTTAGGTAGGTTTGATCCTTTATACGGTTATCTCCTCAGTAGCATGATATCCCCCCCCTAAATTTAAAATCCCAAAATTTTTTTTTTTTTTAACTTTTTAAAACATTTTCCTTAAACTTAAAGGGGGGGTACAAAATAGGGTAGCTATTGTTAGTGAACAAGTGAAAGTGGGCCAAAGCCATTTGTTGGTCAAAGTCAATATTTGGTAGTGATTTGCACATTGCCAGGAGCTGACCTTGGTGTTGGCCACTGCAGGCGAAGCTCAGTGTGTTTGGTCCTGCTTCATAGAGAGTGAATGAGCTCAGTTGTCCCTTTTTGGAAAGAATGCCCTCACATAAACAAGAGGGGCTTTTAGGAGAAGGAGACGAAATCTGACACATGCCGAAATTGCTGGCTTTGCCAACAGATATATTTACAACACTTTTGTCATGCTCTAGACTTGTTAAACTTTTACTGTCTCCAGCCCCTTTTGAAGGGAAAGTCCCATTCATAAACACAGAGTGGTGGAGAGAAGATGACTGCCTTCAAACGATAATGCTCAACACACAGAATTTCCCTTTCACAAACGAACAGACCTGCACATTATTGGCCCCGTGTCTTGGAAACCCTGTCAAATGAATTAACCTTAGGCGGGCTCCCTCTCACAAGCCAAAACTTTTCCTGCATCCCCTCCACCAGCCTCTTGTATGCAGTGGGAAGTGCCTTTTGAATAAACCCCCATGGTTTACACAGCTGCTGGAAATTTCCTTTAAAGGAAGTGTGCTGGCTGCTGAGTGAGCCGGCGGGCCTCGACTTGGCAGGCTGGGCTCAGTAAGAGTGGTCCGCAGTGCCCGGCTGTAATGACGGTGAGGGCCTTCTTTATATATCCTGGCTCAATTAAGCAGGAGAAGATGATTTTAATGAAACTTTAATAGCTAGGACCATTCATCCATCCATTCAGCCCGTTGGTCAGCAGTATATTTTTGCGCAAACGACCTATAACAGCCCTTTGCTGTGTCCTTACGCCATTTGCAGAAAATAAGCTTTACTTTTTTCTTTTAAGTTCCTAATTGTAAAGACATCTGATCAACGGAGGAGCCTCTGATTCAAACCCCATGTTGAAAGTCGATCAGACTGTACACAGAACAACACAGGATAACAGCACAACAGCCTACAAAGTTTTTCAAAGGTAGTCTTGTCTCTAAACTACCTTAGTGGAAAACCCATCTGTAATGGAAATGGGAAGAAGGCTGATGGAAAAGGAGAGCAGAGCAGCACAGGGCATGCCCTGTTTCTTCACCTTTGTTTTTCCCGCCACTGGAATCTCTCAGTATGGCGCTGAATGGCGAACTGCTCCTGAACCAGAGCAGACTGTGGCACGGCTGCCTCTAGTGCCGTCCAGCAGTGCCGTTGCCACTCTGCTGACGGTGCTCTTTTTAAACAAAAAAAGAAAAAGCACTACATCTGAATCAGAAATACGTACATGAGTATACTTATATTATAAAAATAAGAAATAACAATTTGAAAGGGAATGTTAAAAGTGAAAGGTAAAATGTAAGACTGGGTTGTTTATATAAGTTTAGTAAGGGTGGTTGCTCTGTGGGTGCACTTCCTGTGCCCCCTCCCTTCCCCCAAATATTCCAAGCATTAGTCTAAACTGGAGACAAATATTTAGTCCCATGCTGGGCTCGAACCATGTACATGGCAGTATACATGGTTCAGTGCATTAATCTGCAGTAAACCTACAAATGTATTCATTTGTAGCACAACACACTTTTTAATTTTTTTTGGTGGACAATTATTGCCAACAAACAGAAACAAAAAAGACAAGACAAAAACAATAAAAACAAAACAAAAAGGAGGCAGGAAACCAGAAAGGCAGATATTTGGTTACAATAATGTGGTATGTATTGGCATGGCAAAATTTACATAGTTACTGTACAACACCATCATACTCTTTGTTAATTCTCATTTTTACAGGTCAGTCTTCCCAGCATCTTTTCACAAGCAACAATTTGTATCATTTGTTCCTTGCGAAGTTTTAGTGTAGGAGTTTGGGGCTCTTTCAGCATCTTCAGCTGAGCACATGTTATTAATCCAGTTAGTAATATTCTACTATGAAATGTATTCAACTGTGGTACTATAGTTTTGTCTCCAAGGAGATCATGGTGATCTGGGAATTTCACATTCTAACCATTCTGTATTCCAGAACATTCCTCAATAAGGGAAAAACCATGGGGTTTTCCCATAAATCATACATGTATCTACTGGGTTCTGTTTTACACACACTGTCTTTAAAGAAAATGTATAATTGAATTGTACTGTTTTGGCTCTAAAAATAGACCAATTCATTTATCACCTAAATTCACAAGTATCCTCAGTTTGAGAAATGATGCAGAAATAGAGAGCAACATGTACAGCTCGAGCAACTTAGATCAAACTACTGGCTGCCATTTTCTCTTCTACAGCATTTTGCCGCTCACTCACTCCGATTGCTCAGTATTGTAAACCAGTTCTGGTTGCATATTGCATAGTGTATATACTTCATTTATAGTCTTATATTTTCTATTCTGTAATATTTTATTTTGTGATATCTTCTGTACTCTTTCTTTTGCACTACATTGCCCTATGCTGCTGTGTCAGTTTTGAATTTCTCCTAAGGGGGATCAATAAAGGAACATCTTATTTTAAGTTGTGGGTAAAAGGTCAAACTTTACTTTACCCAACTTGGCAGGGGTGTTGAATATTTTGCAGTTAGTCAACGCCAATTATCTCCTGTTCACATTTATGTATAATGGTTCAGCCCCCCCCCCCATCAAAACAAGTAGCCACAGCTCTGCCCAACCACGATCAGCATCTTCCCTCAACACACCACCATCATAGCTCTGAGTCTGGTTCTCTTGTAACCAGAGCTCCTTATCTCCCCTCTCCTCACACTGGGCCAAGACAAGCTGACATTTTTATCACATATTTCACCCACAGTTTGCACAAAACCGCAGCCTCCCCCTGGTACCCATCAGCCTTTAGTGCATAAGAGTTCTCCATTCCCTTTCAGCCTTGAAGAAATGTTTACAGTGGTCGTACATGTTTCATCACAGACCAGCTACAATCGCTGAAACATTTCTGTTGAGATTGCAAGATAAATGTGGCTCTGCCCTCTTAGGAAAATATTTATGACTCTCAGAGTGCGTTGAGTGAAGGATCCTTTTGTGTGATGTTTTCTTCATCTCGCCGTCCTCCTCCCTATTCAGATTGCGCTGAGTGGCCGAGTTGTTGGCAGCAGTGGCCCATGTTGGCCCTGGCCACTTGTAAAGGTCAGGAGCGGCTCTTTGGCTGCAGTGCCAGCCCGGCGTATGACTGCCTCTTTTCTCACACTGAAGCTTTTGTTCAGCAGCTCCTTGTTGCCTTCCACTCACCCCAATCTTAACAGGCACACTGCTGATGGTATTGGATTACCACAGTCCGTCCCTCCAGCTTCTTGCTGGAATGTTTGTTACTATTGCAGCTCCAAAACATTGCACTAAACGATGTGCTCTTCACAACTTTTCAGAGATAATGTTGACAAATTAAAATAGCTTGTTTTGTATGATGAAGAGTCCTCAACCCTCAAATTTACAGTGACATAAAACTGAGAAAAGCAGCTAATTATCCCATTTGCTGGCATTTTTCTTTGATAAATGACTAAAGAGCAAAGCTGTAAATTGATTGTCAGCGACATGGCCAACTATCCTACTACCTGATGCTAGCTAACTAACGCTAGGATCACTTCCAAAGCCAAGAGTTAATATATAATTAGTTACTACGTTAATATGTGGGGTTCAGGGCACGGCAGCTGTTTGTTCCCTCCTGTTCAAAGCCACTCAGGGCTGCTTGGCTCAGTATTGCTCTGTGCTCAACTCAGATTTCACCCTGCTCCACTAAACCTGCTCACCATTCACTCAAAAAAGAGGAAGAAAACCTGCCTTATATGTGAGCTTTATCTTAAACCCTGTTTTAACTGTACGGTAAAGTGGTATGTGTTTCGCCGGGGACAGCGAGCATATACGCTACCAGGCAGATCATCACAAGATGGTCCTTCATTGTTGCCAAAGATGCGACAGCCTACTTATCCATGAAAACATAATTCATGAAGTTATTATTAAGATCAGCTGTGCTTGGTTAGAAATGAGCAGAGGAGCAGACTCACTTGTTGGCCGGCGCAGAGAAATGCTCTTCCGAAATAAAACAGCCAGGTTCACGCTAGCACAGTAAGTGACAATGATTGTGGTGCATGGAAATGATCCTGGGGACACACACAGTGATGCCAGGGATTGGCATATGCATACTGGAGTGACACTGGAGTGGGATGGAACAGGAGATAAGGCAATGCTCCAGCTTTTAAAAAAAGTCTGCCCTCTATCTAAAATCCTTCTGCTCACGCTCTGCTCTGCTCTCATGCCCTGGTGGGGTTACAAGTGATATTAGAAAAAGCATTAAAAAAAAAAAGTTTTGAAACACCCTGTAGCTCTCCTGGTAGAACTGGTGCCCCATGTGCCAAGGCTGAGTCCTTGCTGCAGTAGCCATGGGTTCGAGTCCAACCTGTGGCCCTTTGCTGTCCTGAATTGAATGTATGGTAACCTGTAGTGCTGACAGCAAGCTCCATAAAGCATTTGCAGGGCTTCCTGTAGCAGAGGTTCCTATAGTGGAGGGAGGCAGCCAGCCTGAGCACCTCCACCAACATCAGAACACATCATTACATAAACACAAGTAGCTATACAAGAATGTTGACCAACTTAACAAAAACAATTAGGAATAGGTTAATAGTTCATGGATATATTTGTCATTATACAGAAGGGTTGCACAATGAATGCAGTTGTATCCCCTTCCTTGCTACACACACAGATAAGAATAAGCAAGCAACATTATGAATCTGGGCAGACATTGATACTTTATGGACATAGTTTGGTGGATTCTAACAAAGTATTGAGATTTGATACCCAGCCCTACCTAACTGAGCCACTATATGCTGTATTTTGTTGTTAAAAGGACAGGTTTAAATGTCTGTTGCCTTAATCAACACTGTTAAAAGCTGTGTTTAGCAGTCTCTTCTCTTCTTTGTATAGGATCTGGTGAGTATAATGTTATTGTAACGGATCGGAATGAGGAATAAGAAAATATGGTCTGCCAACCATCTAATTATTCCTGCATGAGAATATTGAGCCATGAGTTAAAGTGTCAGTTGTCTGATTGCTTTCTTTTGTGGCAGATTTCTTTGAGTGCAATGGAATGGAATCTGTGCTTTTGATTTCTGTTTCCACTCCTTTGTTAGAGTGAAAATTCATGATGACTGTGGCAGTTGAAAATCTTCCTTCCCCTCTCCTCCCTTTCCCATGATTCTCTGATTAGATTCCTGAAATGCAGACAGGAAAAGAATTTGGGAGGACAGAACTTCCACCCTGTCTGTCTCCTCCTTCGTCTCGTGTTAACGCTTGCCTGTTTTAAAAAAGAGGGTTAAAGGGAGCCATTTCCTGTGCTGAAAAAAAAGAAAGAAACTGAAACATGTAAAGAATGTCAACCAGCAAAAGACTATATTAGAAAAAGAGTTGATAAACATCTGGAGATTGTGTCATGTTGCGCCTCAGTCTGGCATGAAAAATAAGATTAGAAAACAAGTACAGCGTGAAATGCATCTCTTGAGTTTACTCCCACCCACTCACTCTGGCCCTGTCTTTGTCTTTCAGGAGAATCTGGGCTGGGGAAGTCGACGCTGATCAACTCACTCTTTCTGACAGACCTGTACTCCCCTGAATACCCGGGTCCTTCGCATAGAATTAAAAAAACTGTACAGGTAAATCATTTTTTTCCAGGAATAGTCCACACCTTTATTTCTCTTCAAGTGTCAGCGCTGTATTGTTCTTCTGTGTTCATTGTGGATTCACCCTTTGTGTTGGAATGACTCAGCCACAAATTGACTTTTAATCCCATAAAGGGCCGAAGGTTTGTCTTTTAATTGAAACATGACACTGACACTGGCCAGTTAGAGCGTCAGAGCCTGCAGCTGCTGTAACACAGGTGTGCCCTAACATTTTTTTTTCTCTCCACATTGCAGCCATCAACTAAATAGTTGCTGTGTGAGATCTTGTTTTGTGAGGCTGCTCCTCCTAGCTGTTGCCACCCCTGTGTTTGTGTTAGACAGTGAAACCGGTTCATCTGCTTTAACAAAGAGATAGTTTGTTTGCCAAAGGCAAAGATGTGTAATAATTTCGAACAGGGCAATGTAATTCTTACTTACTACAATTGTAACACTTCCCTTTTTTATATGTGGTGATGTAAATAAAGATTTATGTGTAGTCTTACACAAAATCTGCCCCAAACAGGAGTGCGATATTGCTGTGATTTTGTTTACACCATCTTGATCCACACTTGAAACTACGGATGTGAAACTTTTGATGATTTAATCTACATGGAATTCCTACAGCTAATCCTGTTACAGTGAAAAAGAATTTCACCTAGTGTATTAACCATTTAAAGGCCATGTTTATGTTTGAATATTTGGATGTGGTTTTAATTATTAAATAAAAAGAACCATGTAGAATAAGAACATTCTTAAATAAAACAGCTGGAAAAAAGCAGGATGAAATTACATTTCATAATCATGAGCTGAATTTAAATGTATTATGTATTGGATTATTTCATACTTTAATGGCTAAATTACACATTTTATATGATTTTTCATTTCATAAGTTTGATTATAAAGCTGGACCAGGTCTGGCTGTGTGGGTGCCCATGGCTACAGCAAAGCTATGCTAGGGAGGGCTGACAGCCCCCACAGAAGCTCTTTTATGTAGGCCTGAAGACAGATGAAATATACAAGAGAGGACATGAAAGTTTTGGAGAGTAAATAACTGCAGATAGATGTGATGTGAAGTGATGTGAAGAAGGCTACCTTATTGATTGATACTGTGTGAATGAATGAAGTTGTACCAGAGTGCATCGTGGGAATCAAAAAGCTGTAAGTAGCAGGTGAAAGTGTAAGAGTGGGTTTAGTTTTTCTTCAGTTTCATCAGTTTACTGTTGATTAATGTCAAACAGTATGCTGTGGTGCTGAAAGAGGGTGCCTGTGTATAGTATGTGCGTACAGTTGGAGTAAGGAGGTAAAGTGCATGTGTCATATGTAAACATCTTAGTGGAAAGGCCTGCCTGTGCCAGCTGTGACAGTAGAGAGTTTAGTCTAGCTGAGATGGCCACTGGCTGTGCTTGATTGGATACGAACATCTCTGTAAACACAGTATATTTACTCCTGTCTGCTCCACAAGGATTCAGTATAAACAGAAGGGAAAATATTGCCAAAAGAGGGGCCTGTCTTTGTTTTTGCATCTCTCATGGTTGTTTACATGGATGAATTTAAAATATAATCCAAAGATTTTCATTATATAAATGCATGCACATGAGTGGACACATTCCAGGCAATGCAGAGGACAACAGTCAACCATGTGTTTAGTGTTACTGTTTCAGATGATGTTGATTGATTGTTGACTTTTGAACTCATTTTGTGTCCAACCCCTTACAATGTTCAGTTAGAATGAAATAACCAAATATCCTGTAAATAATCTATGTTGTCCTAGAAATTTTTTATTATACTTCATCCACTCACTCAGATCATCTGCAATGTAGGATCTAGGATGATGTTACAGTTAGAGAAAAACTGTAGTAAACTGTAGTCAGTTTGCTAGAGACGGCAGCGAAAAAATGTGCTTTGGTGAGAAAAGCCAAGAGCGGCACAAAAGCAAGCTCAGGCAGATTGTCACATGAACACTGACCACCTATCTGTAATAAACCTGAGACAGTTCACAAAGGAGGTAGATTATATGTTTGTTCGATCCCCGGCTCCTCCTGTCACATGTCGGGGTATTGAGCAAGATACTGAACCCTGAATTGCTCCCGATGCTGTGCAGCGGTGTGTGAATGTGTGTGAAAGGGTGAATGTGGCACGTAGTGTAAAAGCGCTTTGAGTGGTCAGGAGGAGGACTCTACTTAACAGGTATCTGAGAGGCCTTTACTGACCCCATAAACATATTGGAAATCACTTTGAATGTTCCTAATGTAAAGATACACGGTTGGTCTCAGAGCTACAGCTGCCTTAATTTATCTGGCGCTGTGTTTCCTCTGTCTCAATGATAGTAGATCACCTCATTAAAGTGTGTACTGCACAGACCCCAAACAAACAGACGACTTCCTGTGGTGATGTACTGATAAAACAAGGCACGCGCCTCAGTATACAGTACACTGCCACTCCCCATTCCAAGACAAGAAACTTCCTCTTAATCATATGACGACAGGATGACACTCCAATGACTATTCCTTCACACAAGCCCTAGTTGGATCCATGTTGAAGCCATTACAGACCTCCTCTGAAGGATTTGTCACCCCTGTGTGATGTGCTGGTTAAGAATCCATGAAAACCACGATGTGGTGCTAGAGATGAATTCTGTACCAGGTTTAACTTTGTCTATTGATTTGGTTGTAGTTACTTGTAGACTGCACCTAGCATCAAAAGCAGTGTGCTGTAATAGAACAGTGCTAAGTATGTCAGTCACCCAGCACGTTTATCCAGGTCAGATGTCAGGCAGTGAGATGGACCTTCTTCTTGGCTGCTTCACTATTACTTTAGGCTGTGAAGGTCTGTATTTAACTCAGTTAACCACTTTTCTGTTGGACTTTAAAATAGCTTATTAATTGCATGCACACTGGTCGAGCACATGAAAGCTTACTGAAGTTGTTGGTGAAGAATATCAGTGCGTTAGTTGTAAACTAAGGTGGTTGTCATTAAGTTGTAGTTTTTCTTATGCTCTACCTTTTTTTTGAGCAGTTATGTCCGAGCTCTTCTCACTAGTTTGAAGTCAGCACAGGTCAATTGGAAAACTTGGTGGTGCATCAATCAGAATCAAGCCATATTTGAACCATAACATGATGACAGTGCTTATGTTGCCAGTCCACTGCCAATCAAATCTGATCAAATCTGATCAAACCCCACCCACACAGTCCTGATGAAGCAGATTAAGGACACAGTCACACATCTGCGAAAAATCCTAGGTCATACTCTTCACTGTTGGTGGAAATTTAAAGACTAGTTGTCTTGAAATTGATTAAAATTACCAAATAATCTGGAAATGATCTATGTTGTATTTTAGTCCCTCACCTACATAAACCTAGTTGTGTATTTAGTTTGAAACTTGACTGTAGGATAAACTCTGACACTTTAAAGGTGGTTTACCAGAAGCAAAGTGGGACTGACTGAACTGTTGCTGTAGATGATAAATAAATGCCCTACCAGGCATCTGTGCACAATAGCAAATGTTAATGCTTTCATGAGCTCACTATAGGTAGAATAAATGGCATGTTAAATCTGACTTTAAAGCTGCAGGTGTGACTGTGCCAAGAATGAAGTTGCTACTTATTCAGTGATACTGAGTGCGAGGCGTGTGGTTTATGCCCCAAGTCGTTGTCCTTTGATGCTGTTTGCAGTGACGCTGCAGACGGTATGGGTTTGGTACTTTCCTCAAATAGAGTGTGCAGCTGCATAGTTTGACTTGAGCTTCCTTTTGAAGAGTGAAAGGTGATACTGTTTGTGTGAAGGAGCTCCAACAGGCCTCTCTCTCCTGTCCTCTACCTGTGTACAGTGGATCAGCTGCATGATGAGGCTCCTCCCTTCACCTGTTCCCTGTGATCTACTACTTTGCTCTAAATCTCCTCTAATCCCTGGCAACACACTGAGGGGCTCTCTGCCATCGCCCGACTGCTGCTTCCAATTTGTTTACTTGCCTGTTACACCTGCTCAGCTCTTATTAAAAGTTTAAATGAGATTTAGGTGTGTGTGTGTCTGTGTGTGTCCCCTTCTGTGGGCATCCAGGCTGAATGTTTGAGGATTCCTTTAGGTTTCCAGTCCCAAAGGAAGAAACTGAGAGCTTAAATATATGCTTAAAATTGTTGTTTATCCTTGCAAGGGCCGAGACAATAAATATGGAGAACAGAGAGTTTCTCTCTATCTCTCTCTCTCTCTCTCTCCAGGAACCACAAACTAATTACATTTCAAATAATTGTGGCCACTTTTCCCCCCCAAGTCATGCCGAAGAATGTGATTAAACCCCGAGGAATGCTGTGTGTAATAAAATCCAATTCATTTTTGAAAAAGAGGAAGATGATAGGCAGAGTGGGTGTTAACAGTTAGAGGTGATAGGGCAGGCCAGATGTCTCTGTTGTTCCCGGTTAATAAGGCTTGTGAGGCTGCAGAGCGTACAAGGACAGGGACTTGGTGATTAGCCAGCAACTGCCTTATGCACTGAGCTCAGTCTTGTCCTGCCAATGCATGACATGCCTCGCTTTTTACATCCTATATTTTATATGCTCCAGCTTCAGTGGAGAGATTAAAATAACAAGATAACCTGATGATGTCAGAATGTTATAAAGGGTAGGGCATCTCTCTTCTTCTCAGAAAACAGTGTTTGAGTGCCACTTCATCTAGATCAATAGTTTTTGCCACTATTGGTAGCGTCACTATTAGTAAAGACAGTTTGTGTTGCTCACTGCTTTAAACACTGAATCTTTTAGAAAACTGACACGATGAACACACAAGTGATGTACAAACATGTAAAAAAAAAAATGATAAAAATGTATTTTCAACAAGGGATGTCAACAGTTAGCCTGTAATTGATTAACCACCAAGAATGTTATTGCTAGCTAGCAGTGGTGTGTGACCCATTTCCTAGTCTAATGTAAATTGTGTGATGTTACTCTTCAGTCTAGTGGTAGTACTAGCTGTTAGCTACTATGCTGTACCATATTGAAAACGAGCACCCAGCTGCCATCTCTGAGGATGGCTCGCAGCTAAAGATTGTGTCGCTGCTACATAGGTGGGTGGTATGTGCCAGTCCTGTATGCTGCCAACCAGTGTGGTAGGGAGTGAGGGATTTCAAACTAAAGTTAGTTTGGTACCTTGACCCTGAGTACATTATGCTTCTGTAACAAACTTAAACACAATGAAAACCATTTTCGAAACAACAAGGATGAGCTAAAAGTCAGGCTAGCTCTGCCTGATTGCGGGACTGCTCTCAAAACAAAACCTACATCACAACTAACTCACTCACTCACTCACTTAGAACCTCTCTGTTTGGCCCACGTCAGACAACCTTGCTGAGAAGACTAGTGCAGTGAAGACATGGGCCCTTAACTGCGCCTCTTGTATTTATGTTAGTTACTGGTTAAATGGGTGTCTATCAAAAGCAAAATAAACTGACATCATATCTTGTGGAATTTACCTCTGTTGAAGCACTAGTAACAGTTATTACGGTAATAATAAGTTTTACTGTAATATTTCTGGCCAAGGTACGGTATGGTTTGACAATATGAGACAGTATAGGTTTGGCATCAACATACCTTGTTTTGTGAGGGGATTTAATTCACTGGACTCTGTTCTGCACAAATGGTAACTTTATGTTTACTAACTAGCCTATTCTGGACCTTCGTATTCTTAATCAACAGATGAAATTTGTCTTATTATCCCAGGGTGCCCTGGTGACCTTGGGGTTTAGGTGCTAACCATTTATTGGTAATTCTCCTTGTCTGCCCTCATTTCCTGTAGCTATCTGGTGCCTTTCTTATTCCTTCATCAAAAAGAATTGTACTATATTGATATAAAGGTACAAAATTACATTACCTGAGATTATTATTATTATTATTATTATTTCCCGTCCTATTGTACTGTAGTAATTTGATTCCACTTTGTCACTAGGCTCTTCCTAGTGCTCCTAATGTCATTTACAAGAATCCACCTGGCCTGAACGAAAACAACCAATCAGAGCCGAGAAAGATAGAAACACAGTTTGGGTTGGAAGCTTGAAGATAGCTGATTGTTGAGTCTCATTCCCAGGGTCCATAAGTGTCAGTATTTGACGCCCTGGGAATGAGACTCAACAATCAACTATCTTTCTCACCTCTGATTATTGACAAAAAGTTATATTTATGAAGGTTACCTACTACAGCTTTAAGTGTGGCAGCCACAGTTACTTTAAATATGTCAATGCACTTTCATTCATTGAATTAATTTAGTGTATCATACTGTATACATATATATATATATTTTTTTTTATTTTTATTTAGTAACCAAACTTTTTTTTTTTATCTATGATTACATATATTGCTGATGTAAGCCCACAGTTGCACAGGAACCGCCATCATGACCAGTTTAGGTTCAGCCGTTGTTAAGCTGTGGTGACTGATTGTGTAGCTGTCAGTGAAACTGCTCTGCAGTCAGTTAGCCTTGAAACCGGATGCAATGTCACAGTATTCACAGGATGCAATAAATACTGAGCAGAGCGATAACAAACTGTAACAGTCTGAGATCGCTGGTGCAGTTTGTAGTCTGGTAGTGTTATATTGTGCCAAACAAGGTTTCCAAACAGTGCATTAGTTTCTATTGGTCAACTGTTGGAACTTGCATATATACGTTTAATTAAGGTTAATTCTGACGGTTGGAGATCATATCTAAACAGGAAACACATTCTTGAATTTGGGCTGCAGCTGAAGTGAATGAGAAACAGAGCAAATATTCACAAGTGCACCCTGACTCTATCATGTGGTGTTTTGCAAATATGCATTCACAGTATATTACAAGTAAATAAGCCTGCAGTCCTGTGATCCAGTCAAACACTGTGACAGTTGTACTGACGTCTTACATTACTGCACTTATACAACATGGTGCAGCCTAGTGTTGTTGCTCCTTTTCCCATGAGCTCACTGTCTGTGGGCAGCCTGTCTGGTTAATAGGCATGTCTGTGGTTGACTGACTCATCCTGTTATGCAGTAGATGAACAGAGACGCTGCAGCATTCTTCAGCATTGGCCACTCAGCAGTCCTACACTTTAAACTTAAAGTGTCTTGTGTGTGTGTGCATCATCTCTGACCGTGTTTCACACTTTTTTTTTATTCTGCATAGACATTGCTAGTATCATAATTATCATTCTTTCACAGTCACATGGTTTCAAGGTATTTTAAAAAAACTGCAGTTTCTTCTGACAGTGTATCTTCTTTTCCCAGTATGATCCACCCACCTTACATTTTCACACTAGTTTGTTTATAAAAGAATGTATATATAATCTTGAATAGAAGGTCTTTATGGTTTGTTTGTCAGTTGAACTTGCACTCCCTGTATGATCGGCATTCACTAGCGTCAGTCTGGTCAGCACATCTGCCCAGTAGCATCTCTGGAGGTCAGAGGTCAGTTTCAAGACTGATAGATTCCAGTACATGACAGATGCCGGTAAGTGGTGGGTGGGGGTCACAGGGGTAAGGGTCTGCTATAAAAGCTTTGCTGGGGAATGTTATGCTGCAACAGTCTGCATGATAGATTGTGATGGACAACAGTTGGAACAAACGCTAAAGGATAGCAAAACTGCAGTCAGCCAGGGGTAGAAAGAATGGAGGTGGAGGAAGAAGAGGTTTCGCTCAGTGCTATCAGACCAAAATAGGTCTTTTTCACTACAGACATTTTGACAGGTCATGGCAAGAAAAGCAAAAGTAGGAAAAGTAATTAATAACTGGGCTGTCACAGTATCAGTTGCGGCTGAAAAAATACTCAATACAGATATTATCAATATAGAAAACGTTAACTTTTTTTTGGCAAATTTCACTCAACTGTGTAACCCTGGCAACCAGCATTAAGGTGCATTACCAACACCTACTAGGTTGTAGTGTGAACCACAAAGGGGGAACACAAAGAAAAAACAGAGAGGATTTAAGAGGTACTGAATTATTTATACAATATGTCAAATATGTATTATTAACACATTATCAATATTTCATTTTTAAATATCACAATTATTGGAAATGTCTGTATATTGCACCACGCTTATTAATAACAATACTAGTTCTAGCACACTAGAAAATGAAGCTTCTACCTTTCACCTATCATTCAGGAGAGTAAAAACTACTACTATACTTACTAATTCATCAGATTCCACTGCCCTCTGCACAGTTGGTGTGCTAACCTGCAAGAGTTGCTTTGCTAATGCAACAACAAGGACATGATATCACACACCCAATCACTGCCAGTTGTGTTTGCTGGAGCTCCAGACCAAGTTGAAACATGCTACAGAGAATTGAACCTGGTGCTACTGAGTTAGTACTTTTGTTCCTCTGAGTCACTCAGATGCTCAGTTTTTACAATTCAATTCAAAAAACTTTATTTATCCCCAAGGGGCAATTCCTGAATTCCTTTATCCAATCGCCACTACTACACCCAAACCAAAAGTGCACCAAGCTGCTTTTGTACAACTTGCTCTTTGACTCACTTGTCTTTGTTTGATGAGGTTTGTTGGGCTGTGAGAACCAGGTTTAGCTGTGTAACCCACATGTGGTAAAGTGAGAGTGCAGCCCAGCCTCAGTCAGTGAGCATACCAAGGGGCATTCTGTGGTGCTACTTAAGTGTAAGGTATCGGCTCAGTTAAGCTGAGGTTAAACTCAAATACTCCCCTCAAGGAAACTAGCTGTATTCTACAACGCTACTGCACAAACACCGCTTCAAGAAAAAATGTATGTCCAGACTTGGACTGAAATCAAAGGTTATACATGGCATTAATTTTAAGGAGTGTTGTAAAGTCAATGTTTGTCTGCCAACTGCTGTGTGGGCCTGGCACAACCCCAGTGAGGGTTTCTCATCACTCCCTCGCCGTCTGTGAAACCTCTGAGATATGAGAGAGTGGCAGACAAGGTCTGGTTCGGATCTGCTGATTAAATCAAAGTTCATCTGCTGATCACGAGTTGTGCCCTGACCCCACGCTGATCAAAGCCCAGCCCTTCTTGCTTCTCTGATTTGTTCAGAGGCAGCTTTGTTCACCACGTTCTTCATCTGTCCGATCCGCCGCACAGATCTTAAGATTGCATGCTTAGTGCTTGAAAAATAGTTTTGTCTCACTGTGGTTAATTGCGTTGCAGAGCTGTTTTAGTTCTGGACTGCAGTCAGTGCATTTGTACACAATTTAGGCATTCTCAGATTTTTCTACAAATCCTCTCTACACAAAGTTAAATGGTGATGCACCATCACAGGCTCCTCCACATTATTTCACAAACTTAAAAGCATATTGATTCTTATTTGAGCCCATACTTTTTCACTAGTGTCACTTGTGAGAGCCATGACAAACAAATGATTAACATACTGGTGCCCCTTATAAGTGAACAGTCTTTATATGAGACCAACCAGCATGCAAATGGTTGATTCAGCAGTAATCACAAATCAATACCTCTTTCTCGCACACAGAACCTCAACCAAGTAGTATGGAGATAAATGGGTTTTAAGCATAAATGGAGAATTGACTATTCTAAAAGAATTAAATTATGGTAAACAAGTAAATGAACAGTAGTTTACCATATGGCTTGCACTTCTGTAAAGCACATAATTATACAATTTTATAATTATTAGCAAATTCCTTGACTGATTTATGTCAACATTCTTCATTGCAGGTGGAACAATCGAAGGTTCTGGTAAAGGAAGGGGGTGTACAGCTTCTCCTCACCATCGTTGACACTCCCGGCTTCGGTGATGCAGTTGACAACAGTAACTGGTGAGCTCAGCCATCTGTCATTGGTTAATATAGGTTACTGTAATGAAATTGTCACTGAAATTGTATCACTGTGCCTGACATTGGTGTGAATAATGTTTGGTTCTCAGCTGGCAGCCGGTCATCGATTACATCGACAGTAAGTTTGAGGATTACCTCAACGCAGAGTCCCGGGTCAACAGACGGCAGATGCCGGACAGCAGAGTGCAGTGCTGCCTGTATTTTATCGCGCCATCTGGGCATGGGTATGTACTACAGGAATGCTACTGATCATGGAATCATGTCAAATATGGAATATTACACACTTTCAGGCTTGTTACAGTTGCCTTCAGTGGTAGTTTTTAAAATCATGCAAGGTCATTAGATTAGATAATTTATAAATTTTCTGTGTGAATTAGGAATTAGCTTACTGCATGTGGAGTGCATTTTTAGTCAGTATTAAGCTTCTTATAACCATGTAACTCTGGCCACGTTCAGACTGCAGGTCAAAGGCACCCAAATCAGATTTTTTTTGTGTGACTCAGGTCTGATATTTTCAGTCCAAATCACATGGAATGTGATCTTTCTGATTCTGATTAGGCCACTTTCATATGTGGTCCAAATCAGATTTAGGTCAGATTTTTTGCAATGTGAACAGTCATATAGAATTCTTTTGACTTCTATGTTACTGATGTGTGATTACTATAGCCAGAGATAGCGAGTGGAAATTCAGAGACAGCAGTGCAAATGGAGCGAACTGAAAATGTTACAGGCTGCATATGGTTAAAAGATTAAAGTCAAGTGACTCAATTTATACAGCACAGTTTACAACAACAGAAGCTGACCAAAGTGCTATGCAATTTTCAAGGTAAGGTAAAAATCAGCTGTGTGACACACTGAGAGTTACAGTTTGCAAGTTCAAATGTTGAAGAAACAAGAGGAAAGGCATGATTCTGGATATTGTTTGCAGTTGGACTAAACTAGAACCATCCATTGAACTGATTTGCTTTTCAAAGCTGTAATCAGAATCAAAAATGACACCAAGATGTTTGGCAGTATTAAACATACTCAGCCCACTTGCAAGGTTTTTGAAAATTGGGATTAGTCTTGCAAGCCAATACTTGTCTTTTTCAGCTGGAGAAAGGTACTGGCCAACCAATTTCTGATCATGAAGACAGTCCTTAAGTATCTTTGAATCACCTGTGTTATTTGGTTTTAGCAATCAAGTCATGTGTAAGAGGCTGCTGGTATAGGGGGAAAAAAAGTGGACCCAGGATGGATCCCTGGTGATCCCCACTGGCGAGGCCAGCTATGGAGGTTGAGAAATTGCCCAAATTGACGTAAAAGAACCTGTCAGTAATGTAAGAGCTTCATACTATAAGAGTGACTTTCAGTATGAAGCTGTTTTTGAGGAGGTTCTCCCCACATTTCATTGTAGACTCATGGGGAACACATTGGAAGAAATGAGCAACATAGCTGCAGATTTCAGCTGTTGTGCTTCAGTGCTGCTCCCCTGCAGCCTCTTTCTCTGGCCAGCAATTAAGTAGTCCAAACCCAGCCGGCTATGCCTGTGGCCTCCTACCAGGCTACCAAGCAGGAATAACATTTTTGTAATCTGTTCTGAGCTTGGTGACCTGGAGACCCCGTTCCTCCCATCTGTGTCTTGGCTTTGGCTGCTGCCAAGCATACGCACACATAAACCCGCACACAGTTGGCTTGGCTGTTTTTAAACACTTGGCCACAGTATGCTGCCTACAACAAAAGGTGCTTTGCTGTTGAGCTTGTTGGCCCACACTCAGTATGGTTTAGTGACTGCAGTCTTTTTGGCTGTCTCGGAAAATAAAAAGCACCAAATGGACTCATTCATTTTTGACAGCTGCCCTGTGTATGTGTGTGTTTGTGTGTGTGTGCGTGTGCTAAAACATACTAGCATTGGCTTTTTAACAAGTGATAAAATCATTCATTGGATTTAGTTTTGAGACTCTTTTCATGTCCTCCAATCTACACATTTTTTGGTTTTTGGTGGAAAATTATGGATCATAAAAAAACAAATTTGTAACCTAATTTATCCAGTGTTAGATTAAGCTGCCACATTAACCATAAACTTTTCTGGATGTGTACAGTATACCCAGTCTTCTTGCTGAAGAAATGTAGCAGCAATGAGGAAAAGTGTGCACTAGTGAATGTGTCATCACTCACCTCGTGTACACTGAACAATTACAGAGGAACTGTTTTCACTCAGGTTTTCTGCCTGATCTCTTTTCAAATATGTTACTTATATCCTGGAATGTATATGATTTCTAATGGTAAATTTAGCTTTGATTTAAAACCAGAACTTTGGAGAACTAATCTTACAATGACATTGTTAGAATTTCCGGTTTATTTCATATTTGTTTGATAATGTGCTCACAAACTTTCAACTGTTCCTGTTGAATGTAGGCTATCTTAGAAGTGAAAAAAATACAGTCTTAACCATACAGAATCATCTGACCAGTTTTATGTTTTAGTAGTTACATAGGAGCACATGATCATCATTATAGAGCTGACCTGAGGTCAGTACTGCTGTAGTTGCAGTGAAAGATCCATTGCATGTAGCGATTTTGGCATGTTAGTAAGGCAGTTTGAGAAATGGGAGCATTGCTCTTGGAAATGTAGTTAGGATAGGTAGGGTGATTGTCAGCGCTCAATGCTCCACCTGTTGAATGCTGTTGTGTAATCGTCCCTACGGCCCTTGTTGCTGCTGGTGAAAAGCTGATTAGTTGTATTACTGTAATGGTGTGTTACAGATTGATCTGAATGCACCAGACCACTGGTTGATAGCTGGGGAGGAATGAAACTGTGAGTTGGACAGTAACTGGTTTTGGATCTGCTGCTTTTAACATGTTTGTGATTTACTGGTGGACAGTTCAGAAATGTTTTTCACTCAGTGCACTGTATGATAAATGCATTATCAATACATAATGCACTGTAATCCTGTTGCATGTTTGTGCATCAGCTGTTTTGCAATATGTATGTCAATTCTGATAAGAAATCACTACATGGTTATGGATACAGATGAAGAGTTGTACTGAGTGGACCTTTCCCATAAACAGCAAGCTCTGCCTTAGGGGAAACAATGTCCTACAGATTGTTGGCAGTCAAAGATTGATTTTTGTTGTCTGTGGATTATTGTGGAAAATAGCAGTAATTACAAAATTATGTAAATCCCTGTGTTTAAGAAAATCCTTTTTATGTTTGGACAATGCCAGGGTAGTGGTTTCATTATGCTAAGCTAAGCTAATCACGACTCTATCTCTGTACTGGTAGACATGAGAGCAGTATGGATCTTCAGGGTTCCCATGCGTCCTGGAAAATCTAGAAAACCTGGAAATTGATTAAAATGACCAAATGTCCTGAAGTAATCTGTGTTATCCTGGAAAATGTAACGTACGTGAGAACAGCCAAGCGCACAAGCTTGTGCGGACTGTCCTATAAATGCTGACCACCATTGTGAGTGCTTTCTTTTGTTGTCAAAAAGTCCTGGAAAATGATCTCTTAAAAAGAGTGAGAGCCCTGATCTTGTCGTCTCACTGAAGGAAAGTAAGCAAATAAGTGCATTTCCCAAAATGTTGACGTATTCCTAAAAATGTAATGGCACTGGTATCAGCCCTCAACAACCTTTTCAGTCAAACCTTTTTGTGTCAAGTTTAAAGGCTCCAGTACGTATATTTTGTCCAAATACAGCCTTACGTAGTGTAGATGCCCTGGCAGCAACACACACAGACAAATAGACATGCGAAGATAAGACATTATAATGCCATTTGAAAGATGATTTTCAGAGTCTGAACAGACAGATTTTTTATGCTGTCTGGTTAGTCCAGATGTTCAGTTTAAGGTTGTGGCTGGTGTTTGACGGCAGCTCATTGCTTCACCCCAGCCTGGCAGCTCCACTTACACTGTCTCTTCTCTGTGCTTCTTCCTCAGACTGAAGCCCCTCGACATCGAATTCATGAAGCGGTTACACGAGAAAGTGAACATCATCCCACTTATCGCCAAAGCCGACACAATGACTCCTGAGGAGTGTCAACAATTCAAGAGACAGGTGTGTGTCACCTCCGGCTGTTTATTTGTTCAGATGTTCAATCGGAGTGTGGTTTCTTATTCATGTTTGCAACGCCCCATTTCTAGTTTTGTTTTGTTTCTTTTATCTTTAACAAAAGTGTCTTATTTTTACTGTATTCTTGATTAAAAGAAATCCATCCAGGGGCACCCAGGTAGTTCACCTGGTAGAGCTGACACCCCATGTACCAAGGCTGTGTCCTTGCTACAGCAGCCACGGGTTCAAGTCCAACCTGTGGCCCTTTGCTGCATGTTGTCCTCTCTCTCTCCCCTTTCCTGTCTATCAATAAAGGCAAAAAGTACAAATATACAAACAAATATATTAAAAAAGCCATCCAATGCCCTCGAAGCAGCCTTGATATTTTAGCAATACTGACGATAAACCAGCTCTCACCTATTTTACAACATAAATTACGTGATGGGTTTAATTGACATGGAAATCATCCTTTCTAATTACTGCTACTGGCTGTTGGGCTGGCTAGCAAATCTCAGTACTTTGGCCAAAATGTGTGAAATTGAAAACTCTGGATCAAAGTCTTACCAGGCTTTCAGACAGAAAACAGCACTGCATTACTTAAACTGGACTTCCTGGATTGTAAGATCCATGAGTTTGGAGGCTTATCAGACACCAGAACACTGCGCAGCGATTTAGGACAGATTTTACACTCTGGAAAGATACCACAGCGATAATTGTATTATCCTTTGTCTCAACCATTGGCAGATAAACAGTAGAATTCCACTAATCACACTACTGTTAGCTAATAAAGTAAAATCTGTTGGAAACGTGCCACTGCAGCGTTCATTTGGACGATGTTCTGCCAACGCAGCGGCCTTATCGAGATGAATAAGTGATCTGTGATTTTTTTTCTTACATACAGTGCGAGTGTCATTGAACGAACATTGAACTAATGTTTCAGTAATTAAATCATCATTTTCTTCACTGTCTTCTAAATTCTTGTGCAGCTGTTTGCGTGTAGACACAGTTAAAATTGATTCATTTCAGAAGTTTGGTTTGTTATAAATATAACTGAGGGTTTGTAGTAAAATGTGTTTATTACATTAAGGTAGTGAAAACAGCATTGGTTTAGAAACGCAGATGTTTTATTGGTATCATTCACTGTGACTGTAGACGTACAATTTATTTAATTATACATCACAAGCCCTATAAACAGGATACAAGAGGTCATTTTTTTCCACCAATTCTGAAGTGTTTTGTGTTGGGCTGTTTGATTATCACAATGTTGTATTTGAAGAAGCATAAGCATAGCACACTGAAGTAACGCGTATATACTGCATCAATCCAGTGATACTGTGTGTGTACTTGTCATGGTAGTGTTCATGTGCTGAATAAATAGGTAGGTTCCTCCTCCTGTGTGTATTGACTAACCTCCAGTGTGACTATTGATGTTTCTGGACCTGTTTGTCCCACATACGGCCCATCACCTCTCATACTGTTTTTCCATCTCACCCTGCCTCACCCGTTTTCCCTCTGCTGCATGGGCAGATCATGAAAGAAATCCAGGAGCACAAAATAAAAATCTACGAGTTCCCGGAGACAGACGACGAGGAGGAGATGAAGATGATCAGGAAAATCAAGGTCTGTTCTCTTAAAGCGTTGTTCATTAAATATAACTCATGTCATGTTATGTCATTCATACTATATCTATGAGTAGCCTGCAGTGTATTTTTAGCCATTGTGCGTGAGCTATGCAACAGTTGTGTTCCCTCCCTCCTCTCTGCAGGATCGTTTACCCTTGGCCGTTGTCGGTAGCAACACCATTATCGAGGTCAACGGAAAGCGAGTGCGCGGGAGGCAGTACCCCTGGGGTGTGGCTGAAGGTAAGAGGTCGAAGGTCAACTGATCCCAGCCCTGTTAATTGATTAACTAAGTGGAGTCTCTCTCTGTCTGTCACGCACATGCAAACACACCAATATTTCCACAGTTTTATTGGATTATTGAGCAGGCATCACGTGTAGATGGTTTGCAAAGCAGTAACACAATCCATGTGCTCTTGTTTGGCTCCTATTCCAATATTCTGCACACAGACCCACACACACACACTGGGGAACTGCGCTATTGAGTAACCACTGTGATAGACAAGATAGGGAAAACATTAGCATGGGGAGCGCTGGACCAAATTATTAAAAAATAGATCACTCCTTATTTATTTGTTTATTTTATTGAACACCGACCAACAATATAAATTCGTGATGACATAAAATACAAATTTCACATATAAATAATTTGTTAGAATTGTGTATATATATGAAATTCACTTGCCACTGGACTAGAGCACCAGCATCTTAGACCAACAGACAGAAATAAAACTCACCAAAACCAACTTTGTTAGTCTTTCCACTGTTCCAACATTTGTTACTTCTGGTTTAGTTAAATTTACTAGAAATTAGTGCTGTCAGTTAAACAGCACTTATCTCAGAACGGCGTTGCGTTAATAACTTAAAAAATTTTTTTTTTTTTTTTTTTTTTTTTTTTTTTTTTTTTTTTTTTTTTTTTTTTTTTTTTTTTTTTTTAAATTATTTTTTTTAAATAAAAAAAAAAAAAAAAAAATTTAAAAAAAATTAAAAAAAAAAACCCTTTTTCTTTTTTTTATTAAATTTTTATAATTTTTTTTTTTTTTTAATTTATTTTTTCTAAAAAAAATTTATTTTTTTTTGGTTAAAAAAATTGGGGGGTTTTCCATTAATTTTTTTTAAAATTTTGTTGTTTTGTTTAAACGCGTTATTAACGGCGTTAACGCAAACCCATTTTAACGGCGTCAATTTTTTTATCACAAGATTAACGTTCTTTTTGGCCTAGCACACTTTGTAGTTTTTTTCACATGCTGTTGCAACAACTAGTAACGTTAGAAAAACTACAACACCACACCGGATCTAGCTAGACCAGAAACAAAACAACAGGCACGCCGCACACACTTGTTTAAGAGTAGTAGACGTTGCGTTTTGAGTGGATGGCGAGACGCCGAAATGGATGCCAATAATATTCTGAATGGAAAGTTTACTTTTAAAAAGTTGTCATCAAAGCCAGGCGACAATGGATGATTTTTCAATAAAACATTTGCACAAAGCAAGCCGATCCACTTTTCCATGTTGGTAAGAGCATTAAAATGAGAAAAAATAATGGGACAAAAAGAAATCAAGGGACATTTAGAATAGATAAAAATGTGCGATTAATCGCGATTTAAATATTTTGATCGTTGGACAGCACTACTATAAATTACTATAAGTATGTATATAAAATGTCTCAAATAAGCTACAATGAAACACATGATATTTAAAAGTGAGATGTCTGCCAGGAAATACAGGAAAATACCTGTCTAGCAAGAGATCAGCAGGGTGGCAGCTCACCGTCGGCAGAACGCTCGATATTTAGCTGTGCTTGGTCGGCCCTTTGTCGGTGTGCCGCTCAGAATTTGATAGAAACATGAGGATTTAATGGATACACTGAACATGTTTGGACGGCCTCAACAATACATACACAATGTTTCAGTCAGCAGCACTGAATGTAAACAGAACTGCGTTTGATCATAAGAAGATTAAAAGATTACTCCACAGGGCACCTTTAATACATGTGTATCTAATCTGTTTAAATTGTAAATGTCTGTTAATAAACATAATACCAGATCATGTAATCCTCAGTCATATTTTGTATAAACTGGCTCAGAGACAATAGGCTTCTGTCTTCCACTGCCAGTTAAACTACTTATCTCGACCAAAGAACTGGAACAAAATAAACCTCCATGAAGAAATCACAATACTGAGCAATACTGACGATATGAAAATAAGTGTTACACACTCGTGCCACTGGTGGGAAAGTTCAGCACAGGATATGAGAATCCTTTTTGACCTGACACAGGAAGTTACTGTGACGAGACGCACGAAGCATTACAACATATTGAGCTTACAAATCTATTGAGTCTGACAGAGCTCAGAGGTGTTTACTATAACAGAAAGGGAACATTCCGGATCTTATAGATTCTGTTGTCGTCTCTAGGGCTGCAACTAACGATCACTTTTATTATTGATTAATTGGTCGATCATTTTCTTGATTCTTGGCAATTCCCAAAGTCCAAGGTGATGTCATCAGATGTGTTGTTTTGTCCACAGCCCAAAGATATTCAGTTTACTGTATAGAGGACTAAAGAAAGCAGAAAATACTCACATTGGAGAAGTTGAAATCAGAGAATTTGGACAGTTTTTCTTAAAAGATTACTCAAAACGATTAATCGATTATAAAAATAGCTGGCGATTATTTTAATAGATGACAACTAATTGCTTCATTGTTGCAGCTCTAGTCATCTCAGAACAACAGCAGCTAAAGAACTGAGTACAGCCCAGTGGGTGACTTGTAGGAGTGCCACTATGAAACTGGTTTTCCACTAGCGTTTGTCATCCATGGGGAATGAGTTTTGGAATACCACAAATGTTTTTGGCTCCATGTCAGCATAAATATGGAGAGAGGGCGGGAGAGAGACAGAGAGAGGGCAAGGTCCCTGAGAAGCTATGTAAGTGACTCTACCACAGCAGTCCAGAGAAACCTCAGGGGACTGTGGTGAGGTTTCACTGTAGGAGGGACACAAACAGCAGCACATGATGCCACCTGCTGATGGCTACTGGTACTACAGCCATGAGAAAATGAAACCCAGTATCCACATCATTCATGGTGTTCATTTTCATACTTGCTTTCTTCATATTTTCATATTATCACTTATTCGTATACAGTACCACTATCATGGCATTTCAAGAATTTCTCTTCTGTTTCATACTGCATATATTTAACTTTCTGGTACATATCCACATTTTTATTGTTTTCCCTCACTATGAGACACTCTTGTTGCACTGTCTTCTGTTTATTTGCTATAATTCACTTAAGGGAATACCATGGCTAACCAATTACTATTGCTAGCTCTGGCCATTGGTTTTATTGGTTATGATAACATTGTACTCACCAAGAAAATTGAGGGGCCTGGGTATATTGCAACATCATTAAAAGTAAGTTATATGGCAAGAGCAGTCATACTTATTGAAGTTGTCAGGACACAGTTTGTTGCCCCAGTGGCCATATTTCTAGCAATTCTGCCACATTCCAAGATCTCAGCAATCACTTTGGTGTTTATATGATGCATTGTTGAATATCGTTTGCCATATTTCTGTCTTTCTTTGTTGTATTCATAAACCCTACAGGGATCAGTTATGTTCATTTGTTGCAGTGCTATAATCACTCTGTGTTATTGTATCTAAACTGCTCTGTGTCTCTTCTCGCAGTGGAGAACGGAGAACACTGTGATTTTACAATCCTTCGGAACATGCTCATCAGGTGAGTAAAGACACAGCATGTGGGCTAAGTATCAGTGTTCATTACCTGACACGATGCTGTGGAAAATGAATCCTCCTTGTGCTCCTAATGGTATTCCCAAGAATCCACCGGGCCTGAACGAAAATGGAGCCAAGAAAGCTGTAGAGACGCTTTGTGCCGGTGGTTTGAAAATAGTTGTTTGTTGAGTCTCATTCCCAGCATCAATATTTGACGACCAGGGAATGAGACTCAGCGATCATCTTTCTCAGCTCTGATTGGTTGTTTTTGTTCAGACCTGCTGGAACCAGATTTTTTTCACAGATTATCTGTCTCGTGTTCTGCTGTCAGGATATAGTGAAGGTTTCAGCAAATATGACAGAAAGTTATTTTTATAAAAGATACTTACTGCAGCTTTAATTCATAAGAATATTCAGACATTGGAACTGAAATGTGAAACAAATATTAAAATATTCTCAATAAATAAAACAAATAACAAAAATATTGGTGGATTTTTAAACGATAAGTCAATATTGTGACAGGTGATAACGTATATCGCAGGATAAGTCAATATCATAATTATTGTGACAGGCCTATATAGCAAAGTACAATACTTGTGTTAAACCATATAAAGAAAAGGTATTGATATTTCTTTTTAAATGATGTTATAGTGAGAGTAAATGTGCTATTTTACTTGTTTTCCAGGACCCATATGCAGGACCTCAAAGATGTTACAAACAATGTGCACTATGAGAATTACCGCAGCAGGAAACTTGCTGCAGTGACCTATAATGGTGTGGACAACAACAAGAACAAGGGACAGCTAACCAAGTAAGTTAATCTGTACAGTGTGAGCTGTTGTTTCTGAAATGAACTGTAGTAACGTGAAATAATGGGATGATGTTTGGCTGCTGTAACTGTGGAGGAAACTGCAGTTCAGAGGTCAAAGTCTGCAGCGACTACAGATTTAAGTTCGCAAGCTGTCACTTGGGCAGTCCAGACCTTTAAACCAGTTCCTGGCCCAAACAAGCCAGCACTAACCCCCCACTAACTGACCACCAGTATCAGTTGTGTCTAATCTGACAGTACTAACTGAGGCACCATCTGACTGCTAATCCACCGGCTGCAGCTGTCAGTGATCACCAGCACCCTCACACAAGCTAATGCATGGTTAATGGCAGCATGCTAAGTGTCTGTGCATTTGTTTGTTTTTAGACCTGAGACGACTGACGGCATGTAAGTGTTAACTTCACTTCTGTAAAACCTCTCCAAACAATGCAGTTTTTTACTCCTCTGTCCATTTTTATTTTCCCTGCTTCATAGGAGTTTCTCGTTTTCTTTTTGCTTTCAAATGTATATACTCAATACTGAACCTGGTGACCTTGTTTGGCCATATATTACATAATCTCATAGTAATATTATCAAAACATGTCATTGCTTATAAGCTTCTACATGACCTCTGTGTAATATATCCAATCAAAGTCATTCACCAAAGCCTGTAGGCCTTCATCTGATTTGTTTTTCAGTTTCATTAGACATTTCTTATTCACCACTGTTAAGACCATACTGTGCAGCTACTGTGTAACTAATGGCTAAATACTGTACAAACGCTGGCTAATTAATCTATACTATATGACAAGAATGTGGCATAAAATGAGCACCCATCAAGATGAAACTGTTCACGTCAACCTCCTAGTTTGTCTTTTTGATATCTACAATGGCTATGATATCTCCCAGTTGGCTAAAGAAGCCCCAGAGATGTCAAATAAACTGGTTGCAAAATACATCACTTAGTTAGTTATAGCTAAATAAAATCCACTAACACAATCAATTCAGGTAATTAAAATGAAACATGAAGAATGTTATGCTTTGTAGACCACATTGGCATCCCTAGAGTCACACTATTAGCATAGCTACATTTTATAATAAATGGTATACGGTTTATTTGCCATCATCTGTACACAGCTAATGAAGAAACTTAGCTCAGTAACGTGCCAAAAGGCTAACTTAGAATTAATAACAATGTAAAAGATTTTTACTAGCCTCTTAACATTGCTTATTAACACGTCAGACAAGTTTTACATTCACAAACAAGATGATATCAGCTACAAGATAAAGACCTCCAATATGGCTGCAGAAAAGTGTGGTGTTTTGTTTTTGATTAGTATCAGAATTAGCATTTCTTCTCCTATAACGCCTGTCCTCCTGACAAGCCCCTGTCACTTCCCAGCTACAACCCTTGCAAGCAAGCTGTGCTTTTCCTCCTCCCCTCATCCTGCCTCCTCTCCTTTCATCACTCTGCAGTCAGGAAGACCTTTATAAGTGGGAGGGGAGGGACACATTTCTGCTTAACACTGCTAAAGCAATCCATCCTGCGTACTGTCTGTATGAACGCTGGCTTTATGTCTCCAGGAGTCCTCTGGCACAGATGGAGGAGGAGCGACGGGAGCACGTGTCCAAGATGAAGAAGATGGAGCAAGAAATGGAACAAGTGTTTGAGATGAAGGTCAAGGAGAAGCTCCAGAAGCTCAGAGACTCCGAGGCTGAGGTAAACTACTGAGGGGGTTTTTTGTTGTTTATTAGCTTTTATAAATGCTAGATTAACCTCTGTCTGTACTCTGGTGTCCCTGCAGCTCCAGAGGCGTCACGAACAAATGAAAAAGAACCTGGAGGCCCAGCACAGAGAACTGGAAGAGAAACGCCGCCAACACGAGGAGGAGAAGGCCAACTGGGAGGCCCAGCAGAGGATTCTGGAACAGCAGAAACTAGACGCCTCCAGGTAAACACAAAAACACACGTGATGATCAATACTCGTTTATAGAGTTGAAGAGAAGGTTTACAAATTATAAATTCAATGGGCCAGATTTAAAAACCAGAATAAAGGAAGATGTGCCTATTTAAACCTTTGTTTAGCTTTAAGTTTGTAGGGAAGGTTTCTCAATATGCTGCCTCTGAATATTATATACTTTAACTACCACAAGGCACTCATTGCAAATTCAACACATTGGTTTGCTTTTGGAGAAGGCAGGGTTTAACCTACAGTTTTTATTCTCCATTTTATGTTTCAGTCTTCAGAAACGTATTTTCAGTAAAGCACTTCCCTACTTGGGACTGTCAGATATTTTGAACAGCTACTGAGCATGCTCAGAACTCACAGTGAAAACGTTGAACTGTAAAAGATACAATTGTTGGTGTCGCTGTATCCGTAAACCTCCTGCCCGATCGGGACTGCACATGTGCAGTACTCAACAGAGATGAGACAGAAGTGAGACGGCTCTCTCGTTAGCGACTTTAATACACTATGTACTTTACTTATTTTGTCATAATATCAGATTTAGGTATGCTGGGCCATTCAGAGGTTGCCTCTGGGCCGGATGTGGTTTCCAGTTATGAAAACATAAAAACAATTCAATCAAAATAAAATGTATAAAATAAATTGCACCCATTACAATAGGGAGTAATAAGGCAGCTATTTAGTGCAGAGATCCAACAGAAAAATAAAAGAAACAAAAGCCCTCTTCAGAATCCCACAATACTGCTTTGTTTTCTTTTATGACTTGGGAGTAAATTTCATTGCAATAAGGGCCTTCCCCCACCACAGAACCACAGTAGACGTTCTCAGAAGCCTTTCTTCACAACTGTGGTCATTTTGTGGTGTGGGCTAGTAAGAAGCACTAAGTGCGCCAGGTCCGTCTCTGGACCTTTGGTGCCTTAGGCAGGATGTCCACTGGCGCCCCTAAGTGGACTGATCTTTTCATGGGAATATTTTTCATAACAATTTTTAATATTTTATTATTTTAAATTAAGCTTTATCCAGCTTCTGGTTCTGTGCAGGGCTGTCTTTGAGTCATTTCTATATTAGGGTTTAACTTCCAATACTTGAATCTTATTTTCAATACTCTCAATCTTTTCCCTCATTAAAAAACTTGCAGGGCACATTTTAGGCCTGCGTTAAAACGAATGAAGCAGTTTAGACATGTTTCATAGCTCAGCAACAGTAGAGAACAACTACTGTCCAATGAACCCAAACAGTGAACACAATAACTGCAGTTGGTGTAAAATGAGAGATTTGCATTCATTTTGAGAAGAATATTTTCTGTGAGTATTGATCGGAGAGGAGTTTAGGAACTTTCATACAATTCTGTCTGTATTATGTGGTTTTTTTTCATCTAATAACAATTATACAGACTTAAAGGCTTCTTTTTGACAAATTGAGTGTTTTCTTCTCCCTGATACTTGGCCATTGTTCTGTTAGCTCTTTTGCTAACAGAACAATCCCTCTGTTGTTTTAACTGCATACTTTTCCAATGCAAGACGAGGCCGTTGAGCAGAGAGTGAAGGCTCTGTGAATATAGCTTGTGTTCAGAGCTTCCTGTAAAATGTATATCTTAAAAAATAATCTAAACTTTAAATATGACTATTTTATTTAGTCACAGAAATAAACAAAATCCTGAGATATAGGCCTACTGAGTTTTCTTACACCCTCCAGGTTGCCATGGAGCTTCATTGTGAATCTGTTGCAGGAATGTCTGGACAGGATTTAGACAAATTCTCCAGTTGTCAACCAAACAGCAGCACTTTAGAGGAGTGATTCATCTGAAAAGTGGCTCTGAATTAGAGAGAGTGCCTTGCTCACGTTTGTCCCAACCACTGTTATATTTTTTGTGGATCAGCAGCTTACTCTGACAGCTGTCATTGCAGGAGCAAACATCTGGATTTATAGCAATCAGAAAGCCTGGATTTACCAGTCTCCATCCTGTGGATTGGCTCATATAACTGTACTTTACCTACTGACTTACCCAATGAGCAGAACATGACACAGCACATTATCCGTAACCCAGTTATAAGTCTGATCCCAGTGTGGATCACATTATGAGGGTGTCTTAAAAGCAAGATGGATAAAGCATGGTGTACTGGAGAAGAGTTGTGCCATGTGTTTTCATTTTATTGCACCTTTTTTTTGACTGCTCTTCTGTCTTATTTTTACAGGACCTTGGAAAAGAACAAAAAGAAGAAGATATTTTAATAAATCTGGGGACCTTCCTGATGTTACAGTGTATTATTTTTTTGCCAACCCGCCAGCCTTGATTGTCAGAACACCTGTCAATCAACTACATCATCCGCTGTTTGACCATATTACTGTGTAATAATCAAGTGAAAGCCAGAGGGCAGTACTGTCTGGACTCTGAATTTAACCAATCACTCTCTCCTGCTCATCCTCATATTCCTCCTTAAAGAGCTGTTATTAACTTTGTATTGATTCAGTGTACAGTCCTGTTCCAGCCCACTGCTCACAAAAACAAGTGTATTCGCATGGAAAACATAAGTGGTGTTCTTCAATCATGACAAACTGGAGGGCAAGAGTTACTTGTACTTTGGGAATGTTGGATGCTGCACCGCTCTGTGCTGTATCCTTTTTAATGCCAAAAAACCAAACAAAGTGGTCGGCCTTTTACTTCCTGCACATTGGCGTCAGGCTGAGGCTCACCTCAGGCACTGTTTTTTTTTTTTTAAATATATATGTATCTTTCGGTTCACTTATTTTAGGTATCACATTTAATTTCCTCCCAAGATGTTATGCTCTTCCATCTCCTGTAATGTAAATTGTATAACCACAAACTGCAGTGTTTTACTTCAATCATTTGTAACATTCTTATATTTTTTTCCTTGTTTTTTTCCTTTTGTATTGGCCCTGGCGTAGAAATGGTGTTCATTTTGTTTTCAATATCATAGCCGGTGTTTTCCAGCCCTGCTCTTGGAAGCCAAACATATATTCCTGACTTCACTCATGCTGAGTGTAACAACGTAAAGAAACTGCTCTTGAAGTGCTTTTACATGAACACATTTGAACTTCTTGTGCAGATTTGTTTTCCAACAGAATCAAGTCTTTCCAGGGGCAGGGTGTGGGAAGCTTCTGTTGGATGTTGGTGGATGAGAAAGATGGAGCTGAGATGCTTCAGTCAAACAGCGGTCAACTCAATAACTGCACCAAGCTGGCTTTCTTTACATCACATTTAGCACTGTTGGTGTACTGCATCTGTATTTTGTAATGTCTCGTTTTTATTGTACAAAGTCACATAATAAAATTGTGATGGGGAAAAAAGCACTTGTTGGCTTATGTTTGCACATTATACACTAAACCCATGCTGCTACAAAGGTCTTCACTCTTCTGGTTTTAGGTGTTGGAACCCGGCTACGGGGGCATTAGTGAGGTCCACTGATGTTTGGTGACGAGGCCTGGTTCACAGTGCATGTCACAGTTAATCCCAAAGGTGTTGGATGGGGTTGAGGTCAGGACTCTGCACAGGCTAGTCAAGTTCTTCCATTTGGGTTGTAGCATTAAGATTTTCCTTTATTGGTCCAAACAGCAGCACCTCTAAAACAAATAAAACATGTTGCAGTTAGTGTAAAACAGTGAAGTATGTTGGTTTCTTAGTGCAAATGCAAAAACAGTATACTATAAAGGTTATAGCACATTCTGTACACAATTTGTATATTGTATGGCATTGGAATGCACCATGAGAACATCAGCCCCAGACCACAATTATGTGCACTGGGATGTCCATATACTTTTAGCCATGTTATGTAAGAAGGGAACAGTTAGTTGTTAGAGGCACTGACGGTGTCTTGAAGTATTCAAGAAACAGGAAATGCAACATAGACAACTATAAATATGATCTTTTGGCTTTACAAAATTCCAAAAGATTACATTGAGTTCTTGAGTTTGCATTAAGACTGTAATGATGCTTACTTCCAGCAGGTAGCAGCACAGGACTGCACTGAACGTCCTTCCTCATGCTAATGAGTCCAGGGACTTTCCAAACCTTTGATCAGCCTTTATCAGTGACTTGCTGAACTTTCACCATGACCCAGGTGTTTTTTGTCTTGATGTACTTAAAACCCTTATTGTGCTTACTAAAGGATTCACAGTCAGCTTGTGTTGTCATAGCCTTTCACCTACTGAAAAACATCTTCCTTTCTAACCTTTTGCATACTGTTAATCTGCCTGAACAAGTTGGACTAGAGGCTTTATCAGGAACACAGTGCACCTCAGCCTGAGAGTCATTAGGCCTTTTCAAACCAAATAGTAAGGGACTGCCAACTGCAGAGCTGCCCCGAGAACTAGATACCTTCATGAGCTTTTTTTATGTTTGCATTCACAATGTCAATAGGAACGGTGGAGCGACCCAAGCCGGCTGTCACTGTACACTTAGTCTTGACCAATCACTGTACAAGGTTCCCCTTGTGCTGGAAGAGCACCTGCCCTGAAGTAGGAGCTAAAATAGTCCCTCAAAACTGTTCTAAGAACTTCAAACGTTCCCAGTTCTTGAAGTATGGACACAATAAAAAGGGGTGTGTGCCCTTCTGTTCTTAGAGCTATGTAAAAGCCTAGTTTAATGGTTTTAATTCCTTTAGAATTACAGTGGAGTGGTTACTTGTGACATTCTGAGACCACTGTGGGGTTAAGAGCGGCTGCCAGCAGTCATTCAGGGGGTTCTAGAGTTTTTTTGAGGGTATTCCAGGGGTCCTTGAAGGCCTACTAGAGGATTCTTGAGATATTGAGGGTGTCCTTTTGAGGGTCAAATAACGGGGTTCTTAAAGGAGCTCCATGTCTTCTTGTTGGAGAATGAAAGGCTTTTCAGGGGACGATAGAGGTTCCTGATGGATGTTCTTGAGGGATTTGGAGGATTCTTGTGGAGGTTTCACTGAGGAGTTTTTGACAGAGGCCCAGAGGTGATTCTTCAGGTCTTGTAAGGGTCACAGGGCTAATGGGGGATGTTTGATAGAGCCCCAAATTCTTGTGGGAGTTGTATGGGCTTGTGGGCTTCTAAAGGTTTATGGGGTTCTTAGCAGTGGAGACTTGGGGTCATAAAAGAGATTCCATTAAGTTGGCTCTGAAGGGTTTTTGAGGTGGTTCTCTGAGTTCCTTTGGTGGATTCAGGCCTCCTTAGGAGGGCTAAAGATTGATGGATTCCAGGTGCACTTGATTACAGGGGTTCTTGACAGGAATTGAGGTATTCCAGGGATCACTGGAGAGCTCAGGGCTCCTTAATGGGGTTCTTTAAGGGGTTTCAGGCATCCTTAAGAGGGTTCTTTGCTTCCTTGAGAGGGAACCACATGGGTAATGAGGGTAATTTTGAAGGAGCTCTTGAGTTATTGAGGGTTCCCAGGGATTATTAGGTTTCAGGCATTAATGATAAGATCCCAACAGTCTTTAAGGGGTTTCTGGGGTTCTTCAGGTGACCTTAAAATATACCAGGGGTTTCAGTGAGCCCTCTCCAAACATACAGAAAATAAACTTCATCATTTTATCTAGTAATCATTAGCCTTCCCATGCAATTATGCCTTCTGAGATAAAATAGTTCCCGTTAGACAAACAAAAGAGTGGCAAACTTTCCTTCCTCTTCACATCAAAAACATTGTCCTTGTGGGGATAGAAAACTTTAACTACATTTAGACCATTCTGGGACACTCTCTCACACACACACACACACACACACACACACACACACACACACACACACACACACACACACACACACACACACACACACACACACACACACTGAAGAAGTTGTATTGCTAGGAAACGGCTTGGGTCCAGGTTTACTTCCTGTACACTAATGACTTTGGCAGGCACTGAGTGTAGACCCATATAGTGAGGTTTTCCTACAGACAGCCAATACATTGATTTCCACTATATAGTATCTAATCAGTCAACCAGTACCATATCCATAGCTGATATGGTCAACAGATTTCTATTTTAAAAAATCAATATTGGTTCCAATTATTGATGTAACCTTAAATTTGTCTTTCCCTCTGGCTTATTCAAACAAAAGGTGGACCCTTTGGACTCCCAGCGGTTGTACAAAACACACACTGCTCTCCTGCAGCATCACGCCACAGCCTACCCAGTCTGACAAGTGGTCTGCTTCAGCCTCTCCTCTCACTGATTGGCCGGCTGTGCCCTTGGGTCACCCAGGTGAAGATACCCTCAGCCAGTTACAGAGGTGTGCGGTAAAAACCCATGTGTTAGCCCACATGACAAGACAGGAACTGGTCACAAATCTAATTCTGCCTATGGCCCAAAATGTCAGGGACCCACCCTGACTGCATTACAATGATCTCTATGTTCAGGGGAGAGAATAACCCACCATTCCTCCCTGTTAGTTCATTGTGCTTTACAGCCACCATTGCTGCCAAATTCTCCCCCTTATCAGGTGGATCAGAGGCAGTTCATGTTAATTGCTGTTCTGACATTGACCCGATTCACTGAGACCTGCAGTTTTTCTGGGTTAGCGCCAGCTCTCGGCAAAATCACAAGACTGTAGCAAATGTGTCACAGGTACTGTCAACCCTCCCTCTGTCTGCACCTGTTTTCATACACTCCAGATAAAGCATGTTATTCACCTAGTAAGGCAACAGCAAGGGGCATATTCAGCTCTCTAATACATTTTTTGAAGACCTATGCAAATACTTGGCATTTTGCACAAATATTGAAATAGATTTTACTTGTGTAAAAACATTTTTCACGCTAAAATATCTTCAACTCCAAATGATTGCACTTTTATTGAGTGTGGAAAAGCAATCATGGAACATTAAATCTCTTCTTTAGATCATATAATATCATTATACAACATCTAACATATTACAACAGCTAATAGTGACAGGCCGGAAATCCAAATGTATAATGGATCCCACTTTAAAGATTATACAGATTAAGAGTCTTCTACCAGCTCTGTGAGGCTGTATTTGTGCTTCGAGCTAAATGCTAATGTCGGCATTGCAATATGGCCACGATGTTCATGTTCAGAGTTTAGCATGTGAGCATGCTACATTTGCTAATTAGCACTAAACACAAGCTACAGCTGAGACTGATGGGAATGTCATTTGTTTTGCAGGTATTACCAAAATAGTGGTGGAAATTGAGAGTTTGACCTGATACTGTCAGTGAGGATATTGACCCTGACTTAATGCCATTGTACGCCAAGTCTGTTTTTGTTCTCTGAAATTGTTGCACATTTAAAAACATCAATAAAGTTTTCGGAACAGGTTTGATTTTTTTCCCTCATCGTTTTTGACACCCTGGAGCACATTACTGTCTCTATTTTAAGTGAGAGGGCCACAAAATCATCCTCATTGCGGGGGTGACTCCATCTTGAATTTTGCAGCAAACAGAATAAAAAATTGGACAAAGTGTGAAAGGTTTCTGTACGGAACAAATTTAATCAGATTACTGAAAACTAAAAATTATTAAAAATACAAACTTGATGTGCAAAGGCCTTTTTCAAGTTAATACAAGTCATCGTTTAGAGAGCATCTGGGGGTTTTCAGTCCAGTTGTCGAAACATTTCCCCCAAAACCATAAATGTCAGCTTAATGGTGGTGCTAGAGTAACTCTAGCATCAGGGGATCAACAACATCATTAGGATTCATCCTCTGGCAGCCATGAATGTTTAATAGAAATCCTTCCAATATTTGGCATGTTTCAGTTTTGGGCCGAAGTGATGAACTGACTCTGCCACCCCTAGATGTGTGTAAAGCCACATCAGCAGCCCCTAAATGGTGCCAGTTTTTTTAAAACTGCACACTGTATTGATCAATTGAAGAATATACCAATTATTTTTTCTATTCTTAGAACCTTACCTCATAGAAAATCCAACAACAAACAATCTTCCCATTTGATTTTGAGTTTATACAACTGTATACTCTTGACTGTGAATGGAAAGGTCTGGTGGCCTGGTTATCAGTTTTTGATATCTTGTATAGAGTTTTGACAGTTTGGCGTTGGGAAGCTGAGTCTCGGAGGATTTATCCTCCATTCACTCCATTTATTAAGCTCATCTCCACCACCTTGAGTTCTTTGTACACTCACAAAGCAACAACACACACAGCAGACAAAACAAGGACACACCAGCAGGGACGTTTATGTAATGGGGAATACAAACTGATTGACCAATCACTGCATATCATCTGATCTCCTCTGGCCTTGGTCCATAGACTAACGCAGGTCTTCATTTATTGTACCACGTCAATTGTCAAGAACTCAGACTTCCAAGAGACACAAGATTAGTACTATTAGACAACAAGCATGGGAAGAGGGCTTAAGAAAACATGAGTTCTAAGCCACCATCATGTTTTTGAAATTCATCACTATGAAATCTAAATGCTCATCATAACTGATTTGGATGTGGATCAGACTCCAGATCATTCCTTTTTTCCATTTGCCCTTTTAGGGATGTTGATGCCTTCAGTTCGGAGTCCTTTCTTGGATTATCATATCTGTGCTTGAGATCTTCTGCTTTATCCATGTTGCATAAGAGCTGAGGTCAAGAAGAGGTGGCCATGTTGAGTATTTATGCCATGGGGCATCCTGGCTGTAAATAGAGCTGTGATGTGAACAGCAGCTTATCCTCACTATCAGAGGATAGTCTGCTGACTGTCTGCAACACACTCTGTCAGGTCCAGAGATCCATGTCACTGCTTACTAATTGAACATTACACCATTTGATAGAAGAGTGCCATGTGACAGAATTTGCATTTGTAACATGGGCTTTTTTTTTTTTAAAGTGGCTACCATAAAATGTATTTTCTTTTTTGACATGTTTAATGTTTAAAAGAAGGTAGGGCACAGTCCTTGATTTGTTAGATGTCATTTTTCACACTGTGGAGAAGAACACGTGCTAAGCATGATACCTATGATCAAAATAATAATCCTAGATTCTCTCATTCAAGATTCAAGATTCAAGATTCAAGAAGCTTTATTTATTCTAAGGGAAATTGCTGTGCAACAATTGCGATACAAAAGTGGAGAAGTAATACAAGAGTAAGAATCAAGCTAGCATAAAAATAAAACAAGTAACTAAATGCAACAAAGTGCAAAGCACAATAGGGTAAAGCTAACATAAAATAAAGTACAACAGTAACTAAATGCAACAATACCACAAAAATGACAGTTAACGTAGGTATATATAATACACAACAATACACACTGTGCAGTTGGCCGCATAAATTGAAATAAAATAAGTACAACTAAATATAGTGAGCAATTGTTTAAAGTGATAAACAGTGATAAAGAGATAAAATTGTATCAGCATAGTACACACAAAATGAAGTGACGACGTGATATGATGGGTAATTGTGGAAAATCTATGTAATTAAACAGTCATCATATTAAACTAGCTCTTATTTTGGTATGGACTCCCTAACACCCTCTCAAAAACCCACAGGTATATCAAGGACAGCTAGAATGTTGTGAAGGGCCCCAGAATCTTAAGGACGTTTAAAAAAACTTTTAGGATTCCCCATAGACCTCCAAAAACACAGTTACCTGGCTGGGACCCCCCAAAAAATTCCATCAAGCCCTTTCAGAACCTCTGAAATCCTCTCTTGGGCACTAGAATACTCTCAAGAATGCCAAAAGCCCACCCAAAGGCTATTGGAACACCCTTGAGAGGTAAAGAATTAAGAATAAAGGAGGAGTAAAGAATTTAGTTGTTGGCCCTAGTAGAGGGCCCACTTCAGGCCCATTGAATCCTCACAAGAACTTCTATGTGCTCCTCAAGAACCCCTGCAATCTTCTTAAAAACCACTGTAAGCCCCTTTAGAACCCTTGAGACCCCCATTAGGATCTGTAAAACCCATTTTAATACTCCCCAGAACTCCATCAAGGATCATTAGAACCCCAAGGACCTCCTAAAAACCTTTCATGTCACTGGAACACATCAAGAACTCATAGAACCACTCAAAAGCCTCTGGAGCACCCTAAAGAACTCACAGAGCTCCTTCAGATATCCCCTGTTACCTTTTAATCTTTACAAATCTCTACGACCCCTCAGAAACCCTCAGAAGGGTTCCCAACTCCTTTTAAAGTACCTCCCAAAACCCCTCTCTCACACAGCCATTCAAGAGCCCGTAGAACCACTCAAAACCCTATGGAGCTTCATATAAGATCCCACAGGACTCTATCAAAAGTCTACTGTTATTGTGATTTCACAGAGACCAAATCCCTTCGAGAACTTGGAACACTTTCAAGAACTCACAGAACTCTATTTATTTGTGGCCCTAAAATACTCTTAAGGACCCATAAAACCCTCTGAAGATCTATTGGAACCCCCCTCAAGTCTCTGAATCCCTCTTTTAAAATTGCTGGTGTGGTATATTTACAAAAACTGTTATTGTGCACTTTTAGCACTGAAATCAACAATGGTGCACATATTTATTAGTCCCAGAGTGGGTTCATGTAACTGTCCCTTTGTGACCGTGTTTCTTATTTCCATTTGGAAAGAATATATTTTAAGCTATTGGATTTGTGACCAGAAAAGACAGAATGGTCTATCGTATCGATGAATGAGGAGCTTTTCAACACCAGTACAGAAGAGGGAAAGCATAAGATCAATGGATAAGCACAGGCTTTGTCCATAAAGAATGACACCAAAGCATGTGTCTTATCTGAAAGTATAATGCTATGCTAATTCAATCAGGCAGGATCGGAGCAGAAGGAGCCGGAGTGATATTTGCATCCTTCCCTTGATAGACGCCATGGTCAAACACTGATAATTTATTTATTATTATATAATAATAATAATAATGGTTGGGTGACTGGACAAACTGCATGTATCAACTCGTCTGTCTGTCCGGCTTCGTTTTAAACTTTCAGCTTAATAGTGCAGTTCAGAACACAAAAAGGTCTTTGCAAATACTGATAAGCAAACTGATCATAAAATCAATTTAATTTGGTGCAATATTATAATGCAGATGATGTAGGCCTATATTTTAAAGGTTATCCTGGATAATCATATGCTTTTTCACTCTTTTTTTACACCAGACATATACCATCAATTATTAACCTCAGATAAAACCAAATTTACATTTGGATATATAGGCCTATTGTATGTATGTAATCAGCTCCTCTTCCCGAAACAACATTTGGTTGTCATGCCTGGAGCCACTCCTCCTGCTGCTGCTGTAATGATAGAGGAAGTTTTACACATGGCAAAAGAGGAAAGTGTTTGGTTTCAAAATAAAAGCCTGATTGACATTATTGACATTATTTTTTATATTCAACTTTGGCCACCAAACAGCTCCAGGCACCAGAATAAGACATTTAAATATACTGTTTATGGAGAAATTATAGGTATATGAAATGTAAAATGTTCTCTTTTTTTTCTTTTTTAAAGAAATTATAAAGACTAGTCTGGTTGTCTATCATGGGGGTCCAAATGTGCACAATAAATTGAAAATAAATAAATAAATTGAATTAAGACCCAAAAAGAATAAACACACAAACTATAAAATATTAACTTGAAGTTATTTTGCTCAACCAATCAAAACAACCAACCTTTCTTGTTCTCGTTCGCAGCTCGTCAAATACAGATGCTTAAGGATCCAAAGTTTCAGTATTTGACCCAAAGTATGGGCATTTGACGACCTGAGAATGAAACTCATCAATCAACTATCGTTCTGGACTCTGATTGGTTGTTTTCATTCAGGCCCGGTGGATTCTTGCCAATACCATCAGGAGCACTAGGAGGAGCCAGAGGAACCTGATTGACAGATTGTCTGTCTCATGTACCAGGCCTACTATTATTTTTGTGGAAATGAATAGGCAATGTAACAATTAATGAAAATAGGTAAGTGTAGAAATGAATGTACGGAAATAATTATAGTGGAAGCAAGTAAATGTGGATATAAATCACAGTCAAAACTGCTTTGTCTTCTTCTAGACTACTTTTATTTTGGAGCCTGTGTTCCGGTATGCGCCTGTCTGAACCTGTGTGACTTGACGCACGTCGGGCGCGATGGTTCGTATTGATGTGCGAGCTGGCGTCTCCCTGTCAGATGAGTGTGTGTGGAGGCCGACCTGTGGCCAGTCACACCGCGCGCTGTTGGAGGGCAAAGTTTACGGTGGAGCCGGTATATCCCGCTGTATCCGCCACAGAGGACGCACACACAGGCTGCAGCTGCGCGGACAGCACTCACACTCTGAGCCGGCGTGCGATACATGCAGCATGTAGCCGGGACTGAGGACAACCGCTGTGGTGCGTATGTCTAATGTCATCTTAAGTGAAGCAGTGTGTAATAAAAGGAAGAATCAGTGTGTGCGGGCTGTATATCTGTGTGACTGTCACCTCTCTGCTCTCCGCGGTGGTTGTTGTTTCAGCCTGTTTCTCTGTGCCGTGGCCCGCTGTCTGCTCCCGTCCGCTGCACTGATCCGAGCCCCGGTGACCCGCTGGAGCCATGGGTGGGAGTCTGGGCTGCCACCGCTCCATCCCCAAAGACCCCACAGACTTCAGCTGCGGCAAGCGCAAATTCAGCGCTGCGTGTAACTTCGGACACATTCTGGTGAACCAGGAGCGGCTGAACATCAACACGGCCACCGAGGAGGAACTCATGACTCTACCGGGAGTCAACCGCACTGTTGCGCAGAATATCGTGGAGTACCGGGACTGTATCGGGGGTTTTAAAAAGGTAGAGGACCTGGCTCTGGTGAGCGGGATTGGCGCCACCAAACTGGAGGTAATCAAACTGGAAATATGCGTCTCCAGCAGGACCAGTTCGTCGCAGCACTCCCCGTCCTCCCTGCGCAAAGACCTGGATCACCAGTCCTGCACCGGGATGAACATTAACACCGCCACCCCGGCGCAGCTCATGAGCATCCGTGGCATCACGGAGAAAATAGCCAAGAACATCGTGGCGTACCGGGCGGAGCACGGCCCGTTCAAAAGCATCGAGGACCTGGTGAGGGTCAACCACATCAACAGCTCCCTGCTGGACAAAATCCGCTTCCAGGTGTTCGTGGAGCGCTCCAGGGCGCCGTCCACCAACACCAATGGAGGGCTGACCTGCACCACCAAGTCCCACCCCAGCCCGACTTCATTCAGTCTCATGAGCGACGACCTGGACCTCCCTCCCGGAGGACCGACCCAGATCATCTCCGTGCGGCCCAACGTGGAGCCCCCGCCCGGCATGCGGGACGGGAAGCCCGTGGTGCGTCTGGCCACCTGGAGCCTGCAGGGCTGCTCCTGCGATAAGGCCAACAACCCGGGGGTCAAAGAGGTGGTGTGCATGACCCTGCTGGAGAACGAGTGAGTAAAACGTCCCTGTACTGTTCATCTGAAGTGTGGTTGGTAGTGAAACAGAGTCCCTGGATGAGTGCTGAGGGTCTGTACCAATTGAGGCCAAAGTTGACATGTTTGTGTGGAGGTAATGGAGAACAGAGGTCAGGGAGTGCTCACAAGTCTTTGGAAGGAAGCCATTAATGAACATTAAACATTAACTCTATTACTGATAGATAATAGCTGAACAAAGTATCCATACTGAAGCAATATTAGGAGAAAGACCCAGTGCATATTGTTTTAAAATTAGAGATCTTTTTTGTGTATTTCTGTTGTCCCTGGAGGAACTGTGGTCTATCAGCAGTTTCGCTCAGGATGTATTATTTTATGACACCTTGCTGAGTAATACTGTCGACCATAAAATCTATAAACCCAAATAAAATGTGCTAAACACACATAGTTTGCATTGTCACTACTGGCCATAGATTCAACTTATTTCTCAAACGTGCAGACTGTAGACCAGCAGTGTCCAGATCTTTGTGCTGATTAAATCCCATATGGATTTAGAAATGTGATCTAAAAGCATGGCCTAAATCTGTCCATAAAAACGTGTCCAGCAGCTCTGTAATAGGGTGCCATCCTCAGGGCCGTTCTTGGTTTTTGGCAGATGCCTTCCACCAGTGCCACTATGTGACTGCAGGGCCGTCTAGAAGCCGGATCAGGGCCAGATCAGTCTGCTACTGCACATCTAAGATAAACACACTAGAGCCTGGGGCTTCAGCAAGGGGTCTGCGACCCCTAGGGGGTCCTCAGAGTTACTGCAGGGGGCCACCAATAATTGTTTAATAATATTCTGAAAGTTTTTTAAATATTGGAATATGTCTGAAAATACACATGGCCATGAATCCAACATATAAGCACAGATACATTCCACATCTATGTTTAATATGCAAACATCAATATATGAATGCTATTTTAATAGCGTATTATTGATATTGATATCAAGGTATGTTCATACATGGCACTATAGGCCATCCTACACATTACTGTAGGGCCAGTTTATTATGCAACACAGTTGTATGCCGTAGGGGGCCCTGCTCCGGCTCCAGCTATAAGGGGTCCTTGGCCTGAAAAACGTTCACTCCACCACAACATTCCTGATTAGTGTTGTGGACTGATAATGTGTTCACCCAACAGTTTTTTAGTTTTTCTGGTTAAAAAGTTGATTAAGTCGGTTTTACTTGCAATTTTAAGTGGCACTAACTTAGTTTTGTAAGTTACAGAAACATTTCTGATTAAGAACTTTTTACTAGGTATTTTGTTTTCACAGTACAAGTAAAAATGAAGAAGAAGAAGAAAATTAAGACACTGTCACTTAAAATTACTAAAACTACTTGATCAAGAATGTTTTTAACCTACAAAATGTAGTTTGTTTTACCTAAAACATTTTGATGTAATCAGTTCCAAAAATGTTTTGTTTTATAACAGGTCTATTCGACAATGGCCTTACATTTTGTTTTTTTTATTATTTAAAAAAAACTTTGACAGTTCAACTAAACTTAAAGTTACTGTAAGAAAGAAAAGCAAATAACCTTTTAAGATTTTAAAAAACTGTTGTTGTTTTTGATTATTTGAAAACAAAAGCAGTTAGAAAAACCCTCAAAAAACAAAAAGTGTATAGTTCTTAATAATAATAAAGTAAAACATTTTATTTGCTTAAATCACTGAACTCCCCTGCCTTTATTGGGGACAGGCCTCTATTTGGGACAGGCCTTTAATTCCTTTAGCACAAAACTAAACTCTAACTGCTGCTTCTCTTGAGTTTTGTTCAGCAAATTTGACAACTAACATGATGATTATGATGCTGCAGAGGTTTTTATTTCCTTCTCTCTTGTTTACCATGTTACCGGTAAGTCAGAATGAATTAACGTTATACTTTGTTGTTGATCGTTTTCGTAAAGTATAGTGAAAGATTGAATCGTGGTCGTGGAGAATCTATAACTGATCTAATGATGTGCAGCATGTACATATTGACAGAAGTTTAAACATTGATATTTGTGTAGGAGATTGAAACGACTTAAAATTCGCTCAAGTGGGCGACCCGGTGGGTTTTAAGAGGTTTTATTCATCAAGATAATTTCTAGAAAACCCAGACCAGGCCTCTATTGGAGACCTGCGTTTATTTGTCAAAACGTGTAGCCACACCAGGCTTTTAAAAGACCTGCGTCTATTAGGGACCCTGCTTTTATTGGAAGTTTTATGGTAATTTCAACCTGAAATGAAGAAAAAAGTATTCAATTTTGCTTGCTTGGGGACCGGACCCACTGGCAGTAAGTGGGTCCCTATAAGCTTCAAGGTTAGCTGTGGATTTAAAACGGATCCTTTTTAAACCCAGTAAGCTATGTTTCCCCACATTTCCATCTGAGAATAAGTATTTCTAGTGAGACCTGGTCATGAACCCATCATCATGACAGGAATAAACCCTGCAGCACGCAGCAGTGTATAAAGCCAGTCTCATTTAGTCAAATACACACAAAAAGCAAGAAAAGGTGACAGTCCAACAATATCAAAGCAGCAGGTTTCTGGGACAAGCTTTGAGTGTGATGCAACATCTCCTTTTCTTTGATTCGCAGCATTGTTGTTTGACAAGGTTTCACTTGTACAGAGAATGAATGAAAGAGCAGAAAGAGCACTCGCCGTGTTCTTTTCGCCCTGAGTGCAACATGTGTGCAGATAGCAGGAAAACAGGCCTCTGTGAATCCAGGTTAATCTTCCCAGATAAACTAGAGAACAGTGTTTCAGTGTCAGGTTCCACAGTCAATGAATAACAAGATTAATTCAATAGGATTCTATGTGTGCTTGCTTGACAACAAACTGCTCTGCTCACCTCGTCCGAAATCTCTTATTAGCTCAGGCCTGAGATAGCACAGCATGACATGACATACAAGATATTGACTTTGTACTGCTCCCATGACTTGCTCACATGGTCACTAGGTTCTTTAGTTATTCTTTGTTCATAATATACACTTCTCAAACAGGGTGTGACTTTTGTTGGCACTAGTTTACACTAGCTGGGGTTGCCAGATGAAGTGCCTGGAGCTGTACAGTACCCTGCTTTGAAGGGTGGAGAGAGGGGGGGTCATGGGAGGGCATTCCTGCAGTACATGTTGTTACATCTGAAACTGTCACAATGTAAAATTAGTATCCTCTGCAATGCAGCCACCATGCTAGCTCCTGAACATTGTGTTCTCTGTCATATAGAGAGGCCACCATACCAAACTGTATTTGAAAATCGGTCATTTTAATGTTACTTTGCTTAAAGGTCCAGTGTGTAACATTTAGGAGGATCTATTGTCCGAGATTGAATATAATATTCATAGGTATGTATTCATTAGTTTATAATCACCTGAAAATATGAATTATTGTGTTTTGTTTTACCTTAGACTGAGTCATTTTTATCTACAGAGGGAACGGGTCCTCTTCCACGGAGTCCGTCATTTTTCATACATTAGCCCAGAACGGACAAACCAAACGGCGTGAGCTGTATTCAAATGGTTGCAGTCGGGAACTACATTGCTAGATGCCACTGAATCCTACACACTAGTCCTTTAAGACATATTAAGATGACACTTATCTGCGTACTGCGTACGAACTAGTTAGTTTGAAGCATGCTGAGACCTTTAAGACAATGCAGTTGCAGGGCTTTCGTTGATATGACCCTTAAGAGTTCAGTATGCTTGAGCAGGCGAAAAGT